GTGAGTACAACTAGGTAAGTACAACTAAAGGGAATACAAAAAGGTGAGTACACACGTGATAATTACGTGCACAATCTAACATCAGAATAATGCGTGTGAGCAAGCAGCTGTTGTTTGCCAGTAAGCAGCACGTAGGTGGATGAGGGCCCGGGAGCGGTGGGGGGAGGGGAGGGAATGAGAGAGAGAGAGAGAGAGAGAGGGGGTGGAAAGTGGGGGAGAGAGAGGGAAAAGTGTGTTTTAGAGTTTAGACGGTAAATAGGGTTTGTGTGAGTGGGGGTGTGTGTAAGGGGGGAAGGGGGTGGAAAAAGACAGGTGTTCCCAGTGGTATCTCAGTGGACCCAATGGTTTATTCCCCCGTAGTAAACACTGTGGGATTTGAACCTATTTTGTACATGGCGTCTGTCGGTCTGGAAGACAAGGAAAATATTAATATATATAAAATTGTCTTTCCAGGCCAATTGCTTTCCAGGACGAACCGTAACTTTGGTTAGAATTTCAACTTCTTGTCTTAATATTTTTTTCCTCCGGGTGATTTTTTTTTGTAAATTTATTGTAACATGACATTGTTATTGTTGATATTTTGTTTATTGTACTGTAAATGCAATTTTGGTTGCCAGTCGGTTGCCAGAAGTGTTCTAAAATGATTTGCATTTTGGTTGACATGATTGTTAAAATTGTCTTTTTTGTTGTCGTTGTGCAAAGGGAAGACCGGTTTGGTTATGTCGTGTCACACCTTTTGTAGCGTCAGTAGGGTATTTGTGGACTTTTCTCATACACACCTCTCCTCAGGGAGGAGATCCCCTCAAGCGAATGGACTGGGAACGACTACATAATTTGTGCTCTTTATCTGCACTCTTTATCCATGGTTAGGTTAGGCTAGGGTTACTTTAGGTTAGGTCAGGTTAGTTAGGCTAGGGTTACGTTAGGTTAAGGTTAGGTTTAATTATGTTTGGTTAGGTTGATACGATATATTACTGACAATAATGTGAAATATGGAATTCGAAAACTGTTTTAGTGTACCCGCAAATTCCCTTTACAGTAAATCAAATTCTTAAAAACATATAAAAAATTAAAACTTTTAGCATACACTGTTTATATATAAACCAACGAATTCTATTACATTAAACTTATAACTTGAGAATAATCTCTGTTTATGACAAAGGTTCACTTGCCAGTTTACATGTAGACTATTACAGCCAATAAATTATTGGTAGTCACCGCGGCGCAGTGGTAAAGCACTCGCCCGGTGCTTCGCGAGCGCTTTGGCCTGGGTTCGTGTGCTGGCCGGGGAGGATTGACTGGGCGCCAATCCTTAACAGTAGCCTCGGTTCACCCAGCAGTGAATGGGTACCTGCTTGTTAATAAACAATTTGGCGGGTCGTATTCAGGGAAAATTAGGATTAAGAACCTGAACGGAACGCTATGCGTGCTAATGGCTTTACAAGTATGTAAGAACTCTTGTAAACATATAAAAATATTACTGGAACCGTAATATGCTTTCAGATCATCATAAATATTTAGATGACTATGCAGAAAGTTTGAAGGGCGGGGGGGGGGGTATTTATGGTAATGCATTAGGTCTGAGAATGGGCGGGATGTCTGAAATTGTCTCATATTGGCAGGTTGGTTTTGTTTGACAACAATTCTAGGCTTTGGATAGTTTAAGGGGCTATAATACCACCTTGATTCCCTAAAAGTGGTGGTCAACACGATTACTTAAACTCATTTACGAATATGCGCACTTTGGTGTAACTTAATTAGGATTTCTTCAAGTATAAGTTTGGGTTGATACAGATATATAAGCTACCTCGTGGGGGCCAATAGGAGCTGTTTCGAATGGACCAATATATGTCTTCTGGAGTTTAGTTTATTTCCTATGTGCATATGTACTAATTGATGGTCCTTAGAATATGCCCCAATATGTACTGCGGTCTGCCAGTCTGTGATCACAGGGTCAAGGTATGAAAATTTACATGACTCGTCAAACTATAGTTGTCTACAAATTCATTAAAAATATTGGATCAGTGTTTTGCCACCGAGGTCGACAGCACACACACACACACACCAGAATGTGTTCACGAGCGTCGTGCATAACCAAAAGAAGGTCAGTTGTAACGGTGTTGAGCTCCACGGACCGCCCAACCACTTGGGCTGGACGGTAGAGCTTCATACAGGATGGCGTTCAATCCCCGACCGTCCAAGTGGTTGGGCACCATTCCCCTCCCCCCCCCCCCCCCCGTCCCATCCCAAAGCCTTATCCTGACCCCTTCCCAGTGCTATATAGTCGTAATGGCTCAGCGCTTTCCCTACGGGCTCACCATTTCCCGTGCTACTTGGAACTTTTTGTTCCGAGTAGCTGAATCTAAAACAACAACGTTTTCTCCAGAATAATTCCCTCCGTCCTTTCCTCCTCCTTCGGACCAAACCTGATTTTGACTAAGACTCGACAAGAATGTTTTTTTCATATCATTCAGAATTTTAGAACAAAAATTGTTTGATTCGTCTAAAGTTACTCTGGAGCAAGTTGTCACTCCAAGTCTCGACAGTTGCCACTATATCAGGTGTGCGTTAGCAAGTTATGTAGAGTTGTGTGTACTTTTATAAAAGTTAACACAAGTAAAGTGTTAAGTAAGTAGGAAGTAAAGTTTGAACTCACCATAGCAGAAAAATGTGTCTGTTTGGCTTCATTTGTTTCACTCTGACTTCTGTGTGCGCAAGGTATCCTACGTTTAGATATCTTTATTAATAGGATTATTGCCGCATATATCATATTTATTGGCAATAAACTTTATACCGAACTGACTGGATAAAAAATTATGAAATATTTCAGTTCCCTACATAATGAATGGAGCCACATTTATTCTCCCAAACATGTTCATTACCTGAAAATTAATATATTTTTCAAGTGCAGAATTATATTAATTTTATTTCAGTATACTGGTATAATTATTATAATATAATGTATGAAGTGTACGCGGCTCGCACGTGAGAGTAGAGATCACTACTTATTAACGGCGTTGAAGTCTCCAGGTAAGTTTATACTGCCCAGGGGTATATTCAGGGGTATATACACCGAGAGGTATACTCTAAAACTTTACTTTAGTCCTAGACTCATTGTATACTAACTTGGACTGAACTGTAACTTGGACTTGAACTGTATCCACTCCCACACCCATCTCTCTCTCCGATTCCTGTAGCTGCCTTTCCCGTATGGTGTAGCTGCCTCCTGGGGCCAGATTCACGAAGTAGTTACGCAAGCACTTACGAACCTGTACATCATTTCTCAATCTTTGGCGGCTTTGTTTACAATTATTAAACATTTAATGAGCTCCGAAGCACCAGGAGGCTGTTTATAACAATAACAACAGTTGATTGCGAAGTTTTCATGATTGTAAACTGTTTAATAAATGTAACCAAAGCCGTTAAAGACTGAGGAAAAATGTACACGTTCGTAAGTATGTGCGTAACTGCTTCGCGAATCTGACCCCTGGTCTCTTTTCTCCTTTACTTATCTTCATTACATTGCACTTGTTGGGACTGAATTCCACCAACCACTTGTTTGACCACTACAGGAGTTTGGAGTGGTAGAGCGCTCTGGACGGTAGAGCGACGGTCTCGCTTCATGTAGGTCGGCGTTCAATCCCCGACCGTCCAAGTGGTTGGGCACCATTCCTTCCCCCCTGTCCCATCCCATTCCAAATCCTTATCCTGACTCCTTCCCAGTGCTATATAGTCGAAATGGCTGTGCGCTTTCCCCTGATAAATCTATTCCAGGAGTTTGGCAAGATCCTCTTTTTTTTTAACATACTGCAGTCCTCCTCTACCTTTACGTTCCTGATGAGCTTTGCATTGCTCTAGAAGCACTGACACGTACAAACTCCCTCCCTCGGGCGGGTCCTGCACGTAAATTAGGAACAGCATCTCCAAGTGGTCTTCAAGTCGACCGAGACGGAAGGATCTCCTTAGCCGGCGGACAGTGACGATGCTGCTGATGCTGCTGCCGGAGAAGATGCTCAAGTATCTGGATCACTGGGAGATGACAGACCAGGATGGAGAGGGGGGGGGGGGTCAGTGGCTAGGGTCTGGTGGGGAAATTAAGCGGTGGATTCTAGGGAAAGTGGCGGGGATGTGAAGGTAGACAGAGGAGGGGTCTTAAGAGAGGGTATTAAAGAAAGACCTTAAAGGGAAGGTATTAAGGGATAGTTTTTTAATGGAGGGATCTTTAAGTAGGCTTTAAGGAAAGGTTGTAAGGGGGGATTCTTAAGGGAACGGACTAAAGAGTGATTTTGGATAGATAATAGTCATCAGTCAAGAGGAGTGGGCGGAGCTTGGAGGTAGAGTGGGCGGAGCTTGGAGGTAGAGTGGGCGGAGCTTGGAGGTAGAGTGGGCGGAGCTTGGAGGTAGAGTGGACGGAGCTTGGAGGTAGAGTGGGCGGAGCTTGGAGGTAGAGTGGACGGAGCTTGGAGGTAGAGTGGGCGGAGCTTGGAGGTAGAGTGGACGGAGCTTTGAGGTAGAGTGGGCGGAGCTTGGAGGTAGAGTGGGCGGAGGTTAACATAAACACAAACCGTGACAGAAATTACAAATAACACCAAACCTAAAGCTATATATTACATCATAATAACAAGACAAGGTTGTAACGACGCCATTGGGCAGTACGCAGAGGCAAGACTCATGACGTCATCGGCGTTAGAAAGTAATGACGTCACAGTACACTGCCTAAAAGGAGGATTGGCCCAGGAATAATGACGTCATTAAATCTTGTTTGTGGTTGGTGGGGAATTGGGTTGGACGAGGGGTAGGAGGAGGGGCAAGGAGGGGCCTGGGAGGGGCAGGGTAGAGGAGGAGGGGCCAGGCAGACCAGGGGGTTGTGCACTTAGCGGTCCACGCTGCCGTCGGCGCCACTCTTGTGCTGGCCACCGCGCAGGACGGAAGTGCTCGCCGCTCTCCTGCTCCCTCCACTTCACCTTTGTGATTAGTGTGTGTGTATCACCTGGGCGACGATGGGAACTATGTCGGTCATCGCTAGAGGTAAGTCCAGAGCAAGCCACTTGGCCAGGGGAGGTGGCCAACCAGGCTTGGTAGGGAGGTGGCTAACCAGGCTTGGTAGGGAAGTAGCCAACCAGGCTTGGTAGGGAAGTAGCCAACCAGGCTTGGTAGGGAAGTAGCCAACCAGGCTTGGTAGGGAAGTAGCCAACCAGGCTTGGTAGGGAAGTAGCCAACCAGGCTTGGTAGGGAAGTAGCCAACCAGGCTTGGTAGGGAAGTAGCCAACCAGGCTTGGTAGGGAAGTAGCCAACCAGGCTTGGTAGGGAAGTAGCCAACCAGGCTTGGTAGGGAAGTAGCCAACCAGGCTTGCTAGGGAAGTAGCCAACCAGGCTTGGTAAAGATATGTGAGAGTAATTATTAGGTCACCAGGCTATAGGGAGAGTGAACCACCAGGCTTGAGAGAGAGTGGCTTATCTGGTTCAGAAGAGTATATAGGCTGTTCAGCATGGGAGAGTTATATGAAAGCAAAAACTAGGTCACCTGGTTAGAGAGTCAATATAATGGGTCAAGCGACACAGAAGAGTCGTATGAAAGTAGGGACAACGAGTTTCCTGGGCTAGGAGAGTCAGGAGAGTGGGTCAAGTGGCTTGGGGCATCATGGTAATCGTTGGGGCGTTTCGGATGCCCAAAGTTGTCGAAATTTAACTTACAGAAAATCAGCCTTTAGTTAAACACTCTTGTAATCCCCAGATAACTGGATATCATAGTACAGTGGTCTAAATTCTCGACTAGACAGTCGGGGATCCCGGGATTGATCTCCGGACTGCACAGAAATGGTTTGGCGAGTGTTCTTTCATTTGATACCTATTTAATTCGTGCATAATGACGTTCACCAGCGGTTATCAAAACATATCTCAACTAAACGTCACATATAATGCAATATAGATGTTGTTACAACCTATTCATCCGTAACTGGGTTGGTTTGGACTTTGATCCTTCTCAAGTGCAGAGATCCGTAACCTCGGTGGAAATGGCATGAAGTGTTTAAGGCAAGATAAATGAAAATATACCATTATCCCTTATTATTAATTATAACTATGACTATATACACTCCTCTGGCGAGGTCTCCCAGTACAACACTAGCTTTCTTCTACGGTAAAGGTTTCCAGCTCTGCAATAGCACGCTAGTCGCTAGCACGCTCTAATTAGTCTTCCAGGGCTCGCTACCTTTGAAACACAAACCGAAACTGTCTCTATTTTCCGCTTGTTACAACTTGTAATAAAGTTGTTACATCTTGGCTTAACGTGTTTATGACGTATTAGAACGTTGTTACAACTTGCTATATTGGTTGTTGTAACTGGTTAGGTGTTGTTAAAACTTGTTCGAACGTTATACCAACGTCGTAGTTTCGGTGTGTGTTTGGCGGGATGGAGGAGGCTATAGTCTCCTCCATCAGAGATGTTCAAAGGTCGACCTGTGTACTGCTTCACTGGTACCTCATCACCTCCCTGAACATCAGACTAGAAACTGGGAAACATTATAAATGGGAGGGTAAACTGGTTTAACTTGGAATCTGGATCATAGATGGCGCCGAGGTTCGCCACAATAAATAAATAATTTTTCTACGACGTTGTGGTCAAGTTGTATTTGCCGGGCAGGAGAACAACAATTTAGACATATCTGCAGATGTGAACATATCCTCCATGGCAGATGACATCGATATAATAATGGATCAACATGTTTCGCCGCAGGCTACAGCCTCTATAAACATCAACAGCTGCTGGTGGCATACACAGTTACGTTGTACAGACGTTGCGACAAGGTGGCAACATAACATTCTGCACTTATGTTTCACAAATGTTGCTTGAATGTTGCTTGTGCTATTCCCCCGTTATGATGCGCGAACGTTACTGTAAGGTTGCTTGTGCTTTCCACAGTTATGTTGCACAAACGTTACTTGAAGGTCTCCCGCATGCTCCACCGTTACCAAGCCACAACCAGAGTCACGTAACGCTATACCTTGTTGCCGCTTTCAGCTGTGCTCTCGTCTGTCTGTTCTTACTTTAGGGATAAAATGTACATTGTCGGCTTTATGGTAAAGAAAACGGGATGAGTGTGTGTGTAGGGTTAGTAATTGTTGAGTGTGTGAAGAGTTATTACTTCTGAATGAGTAATTGAAGTTTAACTGCTTGTTGAATGAGCGATTGTAGGGTTAGTGTTTGTTGAATGAGTGATTGTGGGGTTAGTGTTTGTTGAATAGGTGATTGTAGGGTTAGTGTTTGTTGAATGAGTGATTGTGGGGTTAGTGTTTGTTGAATGAGTGATTGTGGGGTTAGTGTTTGTTGAATGAGTGATTGTGGGGTTAGTGTTTGTTGAATGAGTGATTGTGGGGTTAGTGTTTGTTGAATGAGTGATTGTGGGGTTAGTGTTTGTTGGATAGGTGATTGTAGTCTTGGTGTTTGTTGGATTGCCGTTGTGTGAAGGTGACTTAGAAAGGTCTACTATGGTCTAAAGGCGACCTAGGATGGTATACCAATGATCTGAAGGTAATCTTAGCAGGTCTGTTCTATTATGAACAAGACGAAGGGTGGTCCTGCCCTTGTCTGAAGGTGTCGTAGTGTCTGAAGGCGACCTGGGGTCTGAAGGTGACCTGGGGTCTGAAGGTGACCTGGGGTCTGAAAGTGACCTGGGGTCTGAAGGTGACCTGGGGTCTGAAGGTGACCTGGGGTCTGAAGGTGACCTGGGGTCTGAAGGTGACCTGGGGTCTGAAGGTGACCTGGGGTCTGAAGGTGACCTGGGGTCTGAAAGTGACCTGGGGTCTGAAGGTGACCTGGGGGTATAATGGCTCAGTTCTCATTAACATCTTCACATTTTTATTTTATAATTTGTCTTGTTTCTGCTTTTCTCTGACAAGTTTTTCTAATCTTACTCATCAAATTTATTTATGCCTATTGAGTTTTAATGATTATCTTCTGAAGACGTTATTGCATGGCATGGGATAGAATGTTCCTTATAAGTATACCAATCCATGTATCATACATTTATTCATATCCTTATCCAAGTAAAAAATTATACAAATCTTGAAATATCTTTCTGCAACTTCTGTGAAAGACTAAAAAGCATAGCGTCTCGTTATTGCTAAACCATTAACGTTGGGGTGACGTTATCAACGTTCATTGATATATCAACGTCGCGTTGATATATCATATATGATATATCAACGTCGTATGACCAGCGTTGCACAGGAAGGTGGCAGGGGGGGGGGGGGAGGAATACAAGTGTTGTATTTAAGAGACACTCCACACATGACTTGAAGAAGGGCGTTACCAGCTCCTGTATAGTTGCTTGCCTCTCAAGAAGCAGCAGCAAGTGGAGGCGGTCAATGTTGCATCTTCATCTGGCATCTTCTTGCAAGTCATAAGTTGCAGCTGGAAATTGAGGGCTTCTTGAGTGAGATGTTGCATGCGCTTGAGCACGTGGGAGTATAATCCTCATATGCAAGAAGAACTATATTGCTTTTTACTTGCTGCAAGGAAAACATGTCTTAAAATATCTTCATGAAAATTTTCAATTTTCTTCAACTTGGTCAGTTGAACGCCTTTGAATATTTTTTTAAGACTTTCTAAATTGTTGTAATCATGTGAGCCAAATTGTTCGATGATTTTATGTTTCAAGTGGAAAAGCAACGATGCCTTGTGAAATATGACACCGACCTGATCATATGGCCTGGTTGGTAGAGCGACAGTCTCGCTTCTTGCAGGGCCGGTGTTCAATCCCCGATAGTCCAAGGGGCATGGGTATAGCTTTCCTTAATACCTTTCAAAGTGCTTTATAGTCACATTTTTCTTACCACTTTCCCAGATAATTGCCATACTTGTGAAATATAACTGACAAATGAGACTGAGTATATTTAAGAGTATATTAATATAATAATAAGAGTATATTATAAACGTAATCATATACAGAGGGGTGCGTGTGTGTGTGTGTGTGTGTGTGTGTGTGTGTGTGTGTGTGTGTGTGTGTGTGTGTGTGTGTGTGTGTGTGTGCGTGCGTGTGTGTGCGTGTGTATGTGCGTGTGCGTGCGTGCGTGCGTGCGGTAATGAAGAAAACGACGCAGATGCTGTTGCAGCTTCATTGCAAATTAATTTGCAAATATGAATTCCCGTCTCTCACCTGCACTCACTCAAATATACACATAGCCAGGCCAAACAGAGACATTTCGTCAACACAAGTTACTTTCCCGTCTGATCTTCGCCAAAATGAGTTAACTTTTACACAAGATCATTTCCAGAATAAAAATAGTTGTCTTCTTTTGATAATGAATGAATTACTAATCCAAAATACGTTTTCTCTCATACAATATTTCCAACACCATTTGCTGTCTCAGAAGCCAGAGAAAGAAATATTGCCAGCGACGAGCTCAGATGATAGCAAGACATATTGTCGCTATCAAACGACAATATAACAGCGACGTTGTGGTTAGTTGAGGAGTTAAGTCATGGCAATTTAACAAAAAAAAAAGCTGACTCATTGTAACTTTTGGCTTCTGTTGAGTTAACCCTTAGAGGACGGCTCACGTTTTCTGTGGGTTACATTTCCGTCTAAATGGCGTTGTTAAATTTCTGCCTCGTGTAGTTAGTGAGTCGGTAGTTAACCACTCGGATACCACCAGACAGCACAAGTTACAGCCCCTCTCCTGTGCCAGGTAAGTACACTACGGGCTCACCATAGCCCGTGCTACTTGGAACGTTTTGTTCCAAGTAGCGAATCTTAAACAACACCAGACTGGTTCTAAATCATTAGATACCGATACTGACAGGTGCCTGACCCCTTAGACAGATGTTGACAAATGCCTGACCATTAGACAGTAACTGGCAACAGTGCAACACTAGACAGTCCACTAGTTCCGCCGAGGCATCATTGCCATGCTAGAGTGATCATAGCGTTATAACCACAGGGAAGAGGCTGGAGATATTAGTTGCAAGGGCAACTCTATGATGAATGGTTAGAATGAGATAGTTAGTGGTTAGGATTAGTGCGGGTGTGGTTAGACCAGAGATTAGGGGTTGTTATGACACCATCAACATACGCTATAGTCACAAAGACCAACGCTAACAACGACCACACAAGACCAAGACCAACAACGACGTCTTGACAAGACCAACACGACACAACCCAAACAGCGCTCTCTCTCTCTTGACTCCTGTTCAAACACGTAATGAACGCGTTGGACACGTGCGCCGTGTTGACAGATGCTCAACGCTCTGTGTGTACCCAGCTTGGTGTCTTTGCCCGAGTGTTTGCTGTGCCACTTTTCCCCGTGAACTTTGCCAACCTTGCGGCGACAGAGGAGTCGGATTGATCGCGTGGCTCTTTACGAAACCCGTGTAGACCCCAAGCAACCCACCTAACCTCTCGAGGCCAATGCATAGAAAACGTCAATATTGCGGTGATTTTAATATTTACTGTTGCGTTGCATTTTAAACAGGTTGGTCGACTGCGTTAAAAATGCGTCGTATTAGGTGAGAGATCGGGTTGCTTTCCCATCTTGAAGGAAAGCAACCCGGTCATGGTAACCTTCTGGACTGTAAACCTCGCTCGTGGTAACCCTCTGGACTGTATGGTAGGAAAATCACGATCACTTTACCTGCTCCAACGCACAAACAAATACATTCTAGTTTGCAAATAAATTACACGCACGCATACACACACACACACACACACACACACACACACACACACACACACACACACACAGGAGTCAAGAAAGAGAGAGCGCTGTTTGGGTTGTGTCGTGTTGGTCTTGTCAAGACGTCGTTGTTGGTCTTTGTCTTGTGTGGTCGTTGTTAGCGTTGGTCTTTGTGACTATAGCGTATGTTGATGGTGTCATAACAACCCCTAATCTCTGGTCTAACCACACCCGCACTAATCCTAACCACTCTAACTATCTCATTCTAACCAGTCATCATAGAGTTGCCCTTGTAACTAATACACACACACACACACACACACACACACACACACACACACACACACACACACACACACACACACACACACACACACACACACAGTGTGATGTGGTGGAGGCTGACTCCATACACAGTTTCAAGTGTAGATATGATAGAGCCCAGTAGGCTCAGGAACCTGTACACCAGTTGATTGACAGTTGAGAGGCGGGACCAAAGAGCCAGAGCTCAACCCCCACAAGCGCACTTAGGTGAGTATAATTAAGTGAGTACACACACACACACAGTCCCTCTCCTGCGCCATGTAAGTCCACTACGGGCTCACCATAGCCCGTGCTACTTGCAACTTTTTGTTCCGATTTGCTGAGTCTACAACAATATACCGTCTCTGCTGACGGGCTATTCATGTCCGTGCCACCTCTTGGGTGACTTAATCTCTATCTACTGTCTCCTCACCGTTTAAAATTATATAATATATATATAAATCCACAAGGGCCGTGACGAGGATTCGAACCTACGTCCGAAAGCATCCCAGACGCTGCCTTAATCGACTGAGCTACGACATGGTCAAAAGAATTGCAACCAGAAGTTCTACTGCCCTTACTTGGAATCCTCGTCACGGCCCTTGTGGATTTGTTCATATGATGCATCACGCTATTGTGATTTCTGTGTGTATATACTATATATATATATATATATATATATATATATATATATATATATATATATATATATATATATATATATATATAATGTGTGTGTGTGTATTAGTTTTATATTGGACTAAACTCACCCTTCGCTGACGTCATTCGATAAAAGTGACGCTAATTGGGTAACAGGACTGTTGGACTTGTTTATTGCTCCCTGAGACTGTTGTAATGGGCGAGTTTTACTGGTGTGCTGAGGTCTGAGAGAGCCAGGTCTGAGAGAGCCAGGTCTGAGAGAGCCAGGGCTGAGAGAGCCAGGGCTGAGAGACTCAGGGCTGAGAGAGCCAGGGCTGAGAGAGCCAGGGCTGAGAGAGCCAGGTCTGAGAGAGCCAGGTCTGAGAGAACCAAGTCTGAGAGCCAGGGCTGAGAGAGCCAGGGCTGAGAGAGCCAGGTCTGAGAGAGCCAGGGCTGAGAGCCAGGTCTGAGAGCCAGGTCTGGGTGTCCTCAATGTGTACTGAGGGAGAGCGGGGGGGGGGATCACTCTGTCAGCGCCAGGTGTAAGTAATTACCTTTGGGGCCAAATTCACGAAGCAGTTACGCAAGTACTGCTACGAACTTGTACATCTTTCCTCAATCTTTGACGGCTTTGGTTACAATTATTAAATAGTTTACAAGCATGAAAACTTCCCAGTCAACTGTTGTTATTGTTATAAACAGCCTCCGGATGCTTCGGAGCTAATTAACTGTTTAATAATTGTAAACAAAGCCGCCAAAGATTGAGGAAATGATGTACAGGTTCGTAAGTACTTGCGCAACGGCTTCGTGAATCTGGCCCCAGGTAAACAGGTTAATTTAGTATTCCTTGTGTGTGTTTGTTTACGTCGGTGTAAACAGTCACAGTAACGCGGCTGGGAATTAGACGAACGACGTTTTATGACGTTTATAACGACGTTTTCAGTCCGTCCTGGAACCCATGTTGTTGTTGTTTAAGATTCGCTACTTGGAACAAAAAGTTCCAAGTAGCACGGGCTATGGTGAGCCCGTAATGGACTTTTTGGACCTCATTATTCAGTCGTGATAATGGTCCACGGCTTAATAATTTCAGACTGTGGGTGTTGGGTGTCTTTGCGTGGTTGTTAAATGGGCCGGAAACTGGTTAGCGTGTATCCAGGTATGATATGTGTATACATGCCGGGTTTGTTAAGTATTAGTGCTTAGTATGTATACAACAGTATGTGTAACAGGTTTTTGTCCACCATTCAATCAGTTGTCCCGAAGGAATAACAAATTATTTTCACTGGGTCAATCGCCATTCTTTTTTGTAAGAACATAAGAATTAAAAAAAAAACTGGTTCTTTATAGCCCATACGATGCATCTATTGACCAATACTAGGCAGCTCCTATTGACCAATACGAGGCAGCTCCTATTGACCAATACAAGGCATCTCCTACTTATACTCACCCAAACTTATTCCCATAATCCTGTGTGGTGATAGTTGATGTAATTTGTTCTAATGACTTCATTCTTTCCTGGCAGTGGTGGTGTATGTGACCGTGGCGTCTACACTCTGTCAAGGGCACAGCAACAGTAGCAGTGACGTGGTGGAGACAGAACGCAACATCGAAGTGAACCCATCCACGACCGACACCCACTTCGATGTCGCCTCGTTCTTCAGCACTCCCGTGGCTTCCAACCTCGCGAGCCTGATCGCCAACGCTGTCAAGAGTCGGAGAATGGCCGCCAATATCACGTCGAAGGGACGACAGGACGAGGTCGAGGAGGACATTATTGGCGAGAGTAACAACTCCAGTCTGGTCACCACGACAGAGGAGGACCCGTGGCCCACCACTTCACATGTACTGGAGACCGAAGAGGGATTCCAACCCGCGTCTGCTGATCAAGTGAGTTGGAGTGGGTGGTGGAGGGTTGACTAGTCGTTGGGAGTAGGTAGTACGTGGACGTTTTTGTGAATAACGTATCGCTGACGCCACTCTCAGAGTAGCAGAGTAGCCTATCACCGTATCAGGAGATCAAGTAAGTAGCCTATCACCGTATCAGGAGATCAAGCAAGTAGCCTATCACCGTATCAGGAGATCAAGCAAGTAGCCTATCACCGTATCAGGAGATCAAGCAAGTAGCCTATCACCGTATCAGGAGATCAAGTAGCCTATCGTCGTGTCAGGAGATAGGCTACAACAAATAAAGTTCATACTCTCAACTAAATGGTTCCGTATATTGCTGTCAGCCTCCGCTGCCCTATTCAACCTGGCACTTAATGACTCCACAAGCGTTACCTGTCGACGCTTAATGACCCCTGATCGCCAATAACAGCCAAATTGGCGGTGCTTGTCCAGTGAGATGTTCTAAAAAAAAACATCATTACGGTACCTTAATATGTACTAATGCGTCGGATTTGTCACAGGTTGGTCAATTCCGTAAGAAATGCGACGCAATAGGCGAAAGGATGAAATGCAAAATTTCTGGATGCTGAGAGCATCCGAGTACACAGCATCCCATCTCCTGTCTTCACAATTTCAAATTGTGAAATTGCACCAAATTGCACCCCTAAATTAGGGGGGTTTTGGGGGGCAATAAAGTACTTCAATTAATACGCTGCTAGTGACTAGTAAGCGCCAGGGTTGGTAGGTTAGATGGTCTAGATTCTTACGCTTATAAGTAGACAAAAGCACTTCAAAATATATTACGGGCTATTCATGCCCGTGCCACCTCTTGGGTGGCTTAATCTTTATCAATCAATCAATCAAAATATACGCTTGTTATATTCTTGGGAAACGGACTGTATGCGAGGATCAAAGGTTATATGTATGACTAGCTGTATCTATGTATGGTTATATATATATATGTATGGTTGTATGTATGTATGTATGGTTGATGTATGTGTGGTAGTATGTAAGCCTTCTCTTCTTCGAGGCAGAGTGTCTATATGGTTGTGTCTAACATTTTGATGTAGATTTACCGTGCCTTGAAAAGCTCTCGTACAGTACGGAATGGGGTACGTACACTGAGAAGTGGGGCACACACACACACACACACACACACACACACACACACACACACACACACACACACACACACACACACACACACACACACACCTCACAGGTGTTTGTGTACTACTCAAACACAAGCACCAAATTAACACACTCCCTCCCACACCTACTTACCTACATTGCCCTAGGCAACCATCTGTTGTGTACCAGTGTCAGCTGATGGCTTGTTGTTTACCAGTGTCAGCTGATGGCTTGTTGTTTACCAGTGTCAGCTGATGGCTTGTTTACCAGTGTCAGCTGATGGCTTGTTTACCAGTGTCAGCTGATGGCTTGTTGTTTACCAGTGTCAGCTGATGGCTTGTTTACCAGTGTCAGCTGATGGCTTGTTTACCAGTGTCAGCTGATGGTTTGTTTACCAGTGTCAGCTGATGGTTTGTTTACCAGTGTCAGCTGATGGCTTGTTTACCAGTGTCAGCTGATGGCTTGTTTACCAGTGTCAGCTGATGGCTTGTTGTTTACCAGTGTCAGCTGATGGCTTGTTTACAAGTGTCAGCTGATGGCTTGTTTACCAGTGTCAGCTGATGGTTTGTTTACCAGTGTCAGCTGATGGTTTGTTTACCAGTGTCAGCTGATGGCTTGTTGTTTACCAGTGTCAGCTGATGGCTTGTTGTTTACCAGTGTCAGCTGATGGCTTGTTTACCAGTGTCAGCTGATGGTTTGTTTACCAGTGTCAGCTGATGGTTTGTTTACCAGTGTCAGCTGATGGTTTGTTTACCAGTGTCAGCTGATGGTTTGTTTACTAGTGTCAGCTGATGGTTTGTTTACCAGTGTCAGGTGATGGCTTGTTTACCAGTGTCAGCTGATCGTCTGTTGTTTACCAGTGTCAGCTGATCGTGTAGTTGTAGTGAAGAGTCGGGACATTGTGCCTTCACCTGTTTCACAAATGTACAAAATATGAACTTATTGTACAGCTGACTCTTGAACGAAGGCAGCAACTAGGCCAGGTTTATAAAGTACATATATGGATTAAATTAGGTTTAAGATTGCGTATATTAGACATAGGAATGCTAATTTAGACCTAGGTTAGGCTTAGAGTTTGTTAAAAAAAAAATTATATTTCCTTAGTGCGAACGGATTTTAGACCACGAAGGAAAAATTAAAATACTGTAGAAATTTCCTTTAGTATTTTCGTATTTAATAATACACCTTCAGAAGGAACCTTTCGAAGATGTACTATTAAATACGAAAGTATTTAAGGAAATTCGTGTTTCAATTCATCCTTCGTGGTCTAACAGTATCTCATATATATATATATATATATATATATATATATATATATATATATATATATATATATATATATATATATATATATATATATATATATATGTATACATATATATATATGTATACATATATATATATATATATATATATATATATATATGTATATATATATATATATATATATATATATATATATATATATATATATATATATATGTATATATAGGTCTAACAGTATCTCATATATATATATATATATATATATATATATATATATATATATATATATATATATATGTATATATATATATATATATATATATATATATATATATATATATATATATATATATATATATATATATATATATATGTATACATATATATATATATATAATATATATATATATAATGTATACATATATATATATATATATATATATATATATATATATATATATATAATGTATACATATATATATATATATATATATATATATATATATATATATATATATATATATATATATATATATGTATATATATAATATCCCTCCCTCTCTCCTGCTCCAGTTTGGGAACCTTGGAGACGGAAGCAAGTTAGTGGACCTACTACCCGACATCTCCCAATACTCGCTCGACGCTAGTGGTCTGGTCCCCTTGGCTGGTGCCGGAGCTGTGGCACTCGTGGCACTGGGGGCCATTCTCGCTGTCCCTGTAGCCCCAATTATACTCAGGTGAGTAGACGATGAGTCACAGTAACGTGGCTGAAGATCTGGTGACCAAACCACACACACACACATACACATACACACACACCAGACGATGGACAAACAGACGTTTATCCATCTTCTGACGTGTTCGAGGCCACTTAGCTGATCGTGATATCGAACGGCCGTGTCACGTGAAATCCTACCTGAAATCCTACCTAAAATCCTACCTGAAATCCTACCTGAAATCCTACCTGAAATCCTACCTGAAATCCTACCTGAAATCGGCAGGATTGTGTGTGTGTGTGCAGCTCTTGTTCCCTTGGCAAAGCACAGCTGTGTGGCCAGTCACACACTTGTGATAGTATGTAATGACTAATTAGTATGTAATGAGTAATTAGTACACATTGATTTCGAACAGAGAACTTAAAGTGGGACCAGATTCGAACTCTTTTCTCTAGGATGGCAACACTGTTTTAATCCATGTAATTATAACTTAAGATATCAGTATTGGTAATAATTTTGTAATTTGCTTGTTTGTTTGTTTGTGGCAGTAGAGGGTCTAACTTAAGGATATTTATATAAACAATTATTAATAAATTGGTAAGGACATTATTCAACAATTAAATCATGTGAATAAAGAGTTTTTCCGTATTTTATTTTCAAAATAGACGAACAGGAAGCAATGGATGGGGCGGCCTACCCAGTTGGAAGACCTTGTTCAACTGGTGGAGCTCCCCGGACCCAACAGCTGAAGCCTGGGCCGACAACTACTACCAGGGATACGGACACGGCGATGAGTATCCTTCTGAAGCCTACGTAGGTGCTGGAGAGGTGAGTAGGGGCGTCAGGGGTTAGGGAATTGTCAGGGGAAAAGTGCCAAGACTTGGACGGTCGGGGATTGAACGTCGACCTACATGAAGCGAGACCGTCGCTCTACCGTCCAGTCCAACTGAGATGTTACGTTGTTTGATTGGCAACAACGAAGCCATAACGTTAGTTACACGGTCTAACTACCTGTTAACGTCTCTGCGACGTTGCAGCAACGTTTGTTTGTGTTTGTTTGCTCTGGTGGCGTTAATTTTGTTGAGAATGAAGTATTATTTTCACAATTCCCAAGAAAGATCCTGGGTTTGATTCAGGGGATGGTTGGGGCAACGTTGCCTTTCACCTGATGCGCCTATTCACCTCGCAGTAAATATAGGTACCCGGGAGTAAGGCAACTGTTGTGGGGTGCATCCTGGGGCAGGCGAGTATAGGTGTCTTGTTTCACTTTACCAATTCAGTTCCACGAAAAGTTAGTTGATAAATACTTGACCTGCAAGCAAAATATTAATATACTAATTTACTAAGCTCATTCGTCAAATTAAGGAGGAACTGAATTATCTGGAGAAGGTGCACAGCCAATTAGACTACACAACACGTGGGCCATATTGGCCATTTTGTAACTGTACTTTTAACAACATTTACTGTTATCAACAACCAATACAATATTGCTCGTTTGCAGCCATACTACAACACCTATGACACCAGCAGCAGTGGGAGCAGCATAGACTCCTACTACACCAGCCACAACAACAACAACAACCAACACACAGAGGTTGTAGGACAGCCTGGAGGCCAGGTCCAGAAACACAACCCCACGGCCTACACAAGCAAGGAGAAGGGTTACAACCTCGCCGCAGCCTACCCAAGTAAGGAGAAGGATCACAACCCCGCCGGCTACCAAAACAAGGGCCACGCCTACCACAACACCAACCCGCCAACCTTTCACAACCACAACCCACCAGCTTACCAGACCCACCACAACCGGCCCAACAGGCGTCAGGGAGACAAGAAAAAGCCCACTGTTGATGGGTATGAGTACGTCACTTTGGAACAGTGAGTTGTAAACACTATGTTTTGTCTTTTTTATTTTTTTTAGATTTGATATAAACACTAGAGAACATGCGGAATGAAATCATGGTCCAGTCGGTAGTGTACTTGAGGCGTGCATGGACGCTATTTCGATCCCATTGTATAGCTTCATTGTTTTGTTAATAGAGGATTTACTTTTTCTCCTCTCTTTCTCTCTCCCTCCTTTGATTGTATGTTTTTCCAAGTCCAATTTTGTCCAAGTCCTTCCCTCCGTTGCCGTCACTCTTGCAAGAGTGAAGGAGTGACGCAGACGCAGGAAAGACGCAGACGTGTCAACAACGCAGATAAACGTATACCTGGCCAGTAACGTCTTGTAAGTTAGTAACTTCCCCCCTCCATCTCGTTGTTATTGTTTAGGGGAACCAATTAATTATCTCAACAGTATTTTAGAATGAGTATAAATCTTAGCCAGACCAACACCAACACCTCGTAGCCTGGGGGCCTCGTAGCCTGGTGGATAGCGCGCAGGACTCGTAATTCTGTGGCGCGGGTTCGATTCCCGCACGAGGCAGAAACAAATGGGCAAAGTTTCTTTCACCCTGAATGCCCCTGTTACCTAGCAGTAAATAGGTACCTGGGAGTTAGTCAGCTGTCACGGGCTGCTTCCTGGGGGTGGAGGCCTGGTCGAGGACCGGGCCGCGGGGACACTAAAAAAAAAGCCCCGAAATCATCTCAAGATAACCTCAAGAAGACAGACAGACTGACTGACAGAGGCTTTTGTCGTAACTTATATAAATCATTACAATTCTGGTGTACAAGCATGCAGCAGCGGCCTATACAGATGTATAGGCCTATGTGTTAAAACATATGGCTGGGTTTATATTTGTTTATTATTCCCTTTTTATTTCCCCCCTTCCTTCACCCCCCCCCCCCCCCCCGCCCCCAGTTTATAAACATTTGTTTATTGGCATTTTTTGCTCATGTTTACTACTTAATGTGTGCCTTTGTTGGGAAGATATGTACGAGTTTCTTTAATGAGGAGCCTGGTGCCTGGATGTCAATGATCCATCAAGGTTAGGGGTTTATATGCACGAGCCTTGATGCATGTCGAAGATTCGCTAATGCTTTATATGGGTGTCAAGAGAGTCGGTGTGTGGGGGTGTGTGTAGTATGGTGTTGAGAGCTGTTGTGCGAGATCCAAGCGAGGTCTCGAAAGTTGGCTGATTGGCTGGCTGGCTGGCTGGCTGACTGGCTGCCTGGCTGGCTGCCTGGCTGGCTGCCTGGCTGCCTGGCTGGCTGGCTGGCTGGCCGACAGCATGGCACCCCGGCCCAAGCAAGTATTAAGAACACTACCAGAGGCTAAAACCACTTCCTCTGTACTTTCCTTAACACACTGTCGTGGAGGTGCTGCTCCCTGGTGGTGGTGGGGTGACGTACCCAGCCGCGCGTACGCTCACCCGTGCACCAGTGTCTTTTGCAGGCCGAGCTTTAGCTCCTGGGTCCTGCTTATCAGTCGCCTACTCCAGTGACTCCCGACCCTCATGCTTCTTATTGTATCTATTCCCGTGGCTGCGAATTGTCTGCTCCTCCAGCTCCTTTCACTTGCTTATTACTCTTACCTTATAGTGCTTTCTTGCGTCCCAATAGTTCGTCTGAATAAGTTTTTTGCGTAGCCACTAACTCACATAAGTTGCTAGTTTCCACATATATATTAAGACATATTAGACATGCCAGTCTAATATGTCTTAAGTCTAAATATAGATCTAACCCCTTATCGACCACAAGAGGCCACGTGAGCCGCCACGGTGACTCGTAATTCATGTGTTTTGTTATGACTGAACATGTGTGTACACGCGCGGCAGGTGTTGTTGGTACCATGGCGGGGAACACCTGAGGAAAGTGATGGGGGGGGGGCAATTATCTCTCTCTCTCTCTCTCTCTCTCTCTCTCTCTCTCTCTCTCTCTCTCTCTCTCTCTCTCTCTCTCTCTCTCTCTCTCTCTCTCTCTCTCTCTCTCTCTCTCTCTCTCTCTCTTTCTCTTTCTTTTTCCTGGGGATAAGAGGAGTTACTCGAGCGTGTTTATCCAACTATGGGCAGGAGATGTCTGCCCATAGTTGGGGCTGTTTCTGACCATGGTTGGGGTCTGCTAGGCCTCGGAGATCAGTCTGGAGCTCCGAGAAATTATAACTGTGTGTGCCGTTTAAATTGTTTGGTCAAGGAGTCAGCTGCAGAGTGAAGGACTTTCGGGTTGTGGGAGGGAGGGAGGGAGGGAGGGAGGGAGGGAGGTGGGAAAGAAGGAGGTAAAAGGAAGGATGATAGATGGAGGGAGGGAAGGAGGAGGGAAATAGTTTGTTAACTTATCATTACAATCACTTATTATTGTTAAATAATAAGTATTAACTTGTTAATTCTCCAAAATGTTTCTTTCTGTCTTTTCAAAATATAATTATTTTCTTACCTTGCGGTGATTCCGGGGATCAACGTCCCACGGCCCGGTTACTGGCCAAACCTACTGGTTGGTGGTCTGGTCAATCAGGCTGTTGGGTGCGGCTGCTCGCAGGCAGACGAATAAATCACAGCCTGGTTGATCAGGAATACATTGGAGGTGTTTATTGAGTTCTCTCTTGAACACTGTGAGGGGTCGGCCAGTTATGCCCCTTATGTGTAGTGGAAGCGTGTTGAACAGTCTCGGGCCTCTGATGTTGATAGTTCTCTCTGAGTACCTGTTGCACCTTTGCTTTTCAACGGGAGCATTCTGCACATCTTGCCATGCCTCCTGGTCTCATGTGGTGTTATTTCCATGTGCAGAGTTGGAACCAGTTCCTCTAATATTTTCCAAGTGTAAATTATTATGTATCTTACCCAAGCTCTTTAGAATGTAGATTTAAATATTGTAAGCAGTCTCAATAATTTACATGTTTTATTGAGTGGATTCTAGCTGTAAAAGATCTATGCAGGTTCTCCAGGTCAGCGATGGTCATTAGGACCTGCCTTGTACGGGTCACTATGCCCTGCCTCGTGTGGGTCACTATACCCTGCCTCGTGTGGGTCACTATGCCCTGCCTCGTATAGGTCACTATGCCCTGCCTCGTGTGGGTCACTATACCCTGCCTCGTATGGGTCACTATATCTTCTGCCGTTTCCATCATTCTTATGTTCATTTTATGTTCTCGTCCCGAAAGGATCAACCGCATAGGCGACGAGTCTGTCCGAGTTCTGAGCGAACTGGTGAACAACTACGGCATCAATGACCTTTACGCCTTCAGAGATGGAAGCAACCAACTACAGCGTCGCCGCCTTCCTTCCCGCCAACAGCAACCACAACCCAGCCACCAGGAGACGCAAGGTTACGCCCACCAGGAGACGCAAGGCTACCCCAACCAGGAAACGCAAGGCTACTCCAACCAGGAGACGCAAGCTTACGCCCACCAGGAGACGCAAGGCCACTACCAGACGTATTACGACGAAGCCCCAGAGGATCACCCGCACAGGGATACCATCAGTCTAGTGGAACCCGAAGGAGATGAGAACGAGAGCAAAGATGCTTCCAGCGAGCCCCACCCCTACAGGAGGCATCAATACAGCTTCGCCGCCTCCACCAGCGAGGTGGCAGGAGCTACCAAGAAGGAGGAAGAGAGTAGCCAGGCTCACAAGGTGTCGGAATTCCCCTACGAGTTTCACAAGGAGAACTGAATGCCCTTATAGACGCAATCCCGAATCCTTCCTTAGAGCGATGGATGCCGTTTGTGCATATTTCTCTCATCAGCCGAGAGCGTTTTCAGTTGTAAATATTGACTTGAATGTATATCTATTTATGTATTTATTTCACTATTTATAATTTAATTTATTTCACTGTTAGTTAATTTATTTCACTATTAGTTAATTTGTTTCACTGTTAATTTATTTCACTGTTACTTTGTTTTACTGTTAGTAATTTATTTCACTTATTTAATTTATTTCACAGTTTATTAACTTATTTATCTGTTAATCTATTATATTTATTTATGTATCAATTTAATGCGATTGATGACGACCGTCAAGGGATATCATCAATTAAGTTTACACAATTTTGTTTCAATAAATACTCTTTTTTTTAGCATTAGTAGCCTAGCCACAGTAATATTCTGTAGATACATAAATGTACGAGGCAAATACATACAATATCATTATTATACACTGTCATTCACTATTATACACTGTCATTCACTATTATACACTGTCATTCACTATTATACATTGTCATTATCCCCATTCCAAAACAATAGCCTCCTTTTTCCCCCTTATACATTCCCATACATTTTTCATCTGACATTTTCATTCCAGACAAGCCTCAACCCTCACAGATTCCATAGAGAGATGTGTGTGTGTGTGTGTTGGTCAAAATAGTGATGATAATAGTGGTAGTAGTAGTTGACTAGTATTGGTCAAAATAGTGGTGGTCATAGTAGTGGTAGCAGCAGTAGTGCTGACAGTGGTGTTTACTAGTAAATAGTTTTTTGTATTGAATTATATTATATATATATATATATATATATATATATATATATATATACATATATATATATATATATATATATATATATATGTCGTACCTAGTAGCCAGAACGCACTTCTCAGCCTACTATGCAAGGCCCGATTTGCCTAATAAGCCAAGTTTTCATTAATTAATGTTTTTTCGACTACCTAACCTACCTAACCTAACCTAACCTAACATTTCCTGCTACCTAACCTAACCTAACCTATAAAGATAGGTTAGGTTAGGTTAGGTAGGGTTGGTTAGGTTCGGTCATATATCTACGTTAATTTTAACTCCAATAAAACAAAATTGACCTCATACATAATGAAATGGGTAGCTTTATCATTTCATAAGAAAAAAAATAGAGAAAATATATTATTTCAGGAAAACTTGGCTTATTAGGCAAATCGGGCCTTGAATAGTAGGCTGAGAAGTGCGTTCTGGCTACTAGGTACGACATATATATATATATATATATATATATATATATATATATATATATATATATATATATATATATATATATATATATATATATATATATATACACACACAAGAGTTCTTACATTCTTGTAGTACTATTTTATTTTCTCAAGAGTTATATAGATGATGTAGATAGGCTTTTCACTGGATTTAAATAGGTTTAACATCCACTTAGGCTGCAAGAGTGAAAATTTATACTTTTGTGTGTATTACATAGAAGATATAAACCAAATGATTTTTTTTTTACTGTATATCTGTATTCACATTTATTTATTGTACATTCTTGGGAATATACAATGAATATATTAATTTGTTTACTAACAAGTGGCTATCAAGAATTTTCAGTTAGTGGTTTTCTATAACAAAATTCCTTGTATTTTTTATTCATAATGGTTAGCACAACAGTCTGCGTCCTCGGCTCACAACCTGCGCCCCAGGACTCAATTCCCGGGCGGGGCAGAAACGGTTGGGTACATTTCCTCTCAAAGACGCCTCTGTTCACCTAGCAGAAAATAGATGATAGGTCTCTGGAGTTAGAGAACTGTTGTGGGGTTGTAACCTGGGAAAGCTTAGTAGTGGGTTTACTCTTCATTCTACCTCTAAAGAATATTTGGTATTACTGAAGTATTCACCACGAGGCTAGGTTGCGTGTGGAATGTGCAAGCAGCCTGCATATTGCAAATGGGGGAAAATGATGTCAGGAACTATTGAGTTAATTATAAGTTTATGAAATATTGTAGCAAGGGGTGGTTTGTGGTTGATAATTATGAGCCTTTGATTCATTAACCTGTTGGTGCGTGTTACGAGTTTATGAGTTATGATACAGGTTAATAGTCCCAGCCAACTGGATATTGCAAGACCTCCCCGGCCTACTGGGGATTGCAAGATACCCCAGGCCTACTGGGCATTGCTAGAACCTCCCCCCCCCCAGGCCTTCTGGTCATTGCAAGACCTTCCACCACTGGCTCTCCGGAGATTGTATAACACAGGATAGATTGGATACAATATATTTGTGTTTACAAATAGACTGAGCCTCTTTTTACTTATGTTATGATTATAGTACCTTATGAACGTGGTTATTACATTGGAACTTAGCGTACGTGGTGATTACTCTAGCACTTAGTATACCTGGGGCATACCTGGAGAGGGTTTCGGGAGCTCTTCTACTCCCCGAGGAATAAGACCTGGTGCCAGGCTCGAGTGCACTTGGCGGTTATATTAGTACTTATGAACGTGGCAATTACATTTTAATGTACAATGTAGATTTAAGGTTGTGTTACTTTAAGATGTTGATTGATTTCATCTTTTGTATGCTCAGCTGTGAGTGAGTGTTGTGATTTAGGGCGGCATTTATCCTCATGATGAGTGAATAAATATTGCGTATAGTGGGGTTTTTCTTTTACCACAGACGTGGCCACACATTTACAATGCTAACCAAAATATATATATTCTCTTCTGTCCTACGTGGACAGGTTTAAGAGATCTGTTAAACGTATAGTTCAGTGATTTATTGAACAATCGACCACAGAAGGCGATTGTAGTGCTTTTAAAATGCTAATCGAACCTGCATACATAAATACTCAGATTGACGTCTGTTTTACAATAACAGTGTTCAAGGTGTCTTTTTTACACAGTGTCTTCCACCCACTGATTATTGTATTATTGCAATAACAAAATACTTGGGTGATTGCAATAAGTGGGTGATTATTGCACCCACTGATTACTGGGCGATTATTTCGCCCAGTAAAAGGGGACACAGGTGAAAATATAGTACCCAAATGAGCCACAGAGACATTAGAAAAACGTTTTTCAGTGTCAGAGTAGTTAACATTGAATACAAGAGGCAGTGATGTGGTGGGGGGCTGACTCCATACACAGTTTCAAATGTAGAGTTGATAGAGCCCAGTAGGCTCAAGAATCTGTACACCAATTGATTGACGGTTGAGAGGCGGGACCAAAGAGCCAGAGCTCAATCCCCGCAAGCACAAAATTAGGTGAGCACTGTGAGTAGGTGGAGCGAACCGCACCACACTAAGTTTGCTGTAGTATGGGCTGTACTGTGCATTTTCTCTGATGTATAGAGGCGCTGGCCGCTGTGCTGGGGGGACTGTGAAAGATGGATTATCAGCAGGAGTGGAATTAATATTTTTTTTTTTTTTTTTTGAGATATATACAAGAGTTGTTACATTCTTGTACAGCCACTAGTACGCGTAGCGTTTCGGGCAAGTCCTTAATCCTATGGTCCCTGGAATACGATCCCCTGCCGCGAAGAATCGTTTTTTCATCCAAGTACACATTTTACTGTTGCGTTAAACAGAGGCTACAGTTAAGGAATTGCGCCCAGTAAATCCTCCCCGGCCAGGATACGAACCCATGACATAGCGCTCGCGGAACGCCAGGCGAGTGTCTTACCACTACACCACGGAGACTGCGAAATCCCCCACCCCCCACCCCTAATCACTCATTGTGTCGTGGGACAGGAAAAAGAAGGTACATTGGGTTGTAGGGAGTACATAACATTGGTGTTCTTACATTCTTGCAAAGCCACTCACAAGCATATAGCGTTTCGGATAGAGCGAACTAGGAGATAATGATAATGTGGGTTACCTGAATTTACCTGAGTTTATAAGCTGGTTGTTGAGAGGTTCGTGATTGAGGGTGAACAGGATGAGTGTTGTTATTTGAATTGTGGTCCCATGTTGCGCAGGTTTCTGACAGCACCTGAATACCGTGCCAGGTAAGTTACGGGCTCACCATAGCCCGTGCTTCTTGCCCCGCTCCTGTGCCAGGTAAGTTACGGGCTCACCATAGCCCGTGCTACTTGGAACTTGTTCCGAGTAGCTGAATCTATAACAACAACAACAACTTGAATACAGCTTGTTCGTTTACTGTGTGTGTATTGGAGATGGTTGCATTGATGGGAAGCTGGAGTGATGAAAATGTGAGGCTGCATGTTTCCTGATCAGACAGGTGTTGCGTCAACCTCTTTCCCCCTAATAGAACGTCGCATTTTGACGTATATTCTACCTCAGGCCAAACACTGTCGTACTAGAAAATGGTAACGGCTCGCGAATTTGATATTCTTTCCCGTTTTATGTTTTGGGTCCTCTGGTAGGTAAGTAAAATAAGGGCATTTTAGTACGACAGTTTCTTGACTGATTGATTGATTGATGAAGATTAAGCCACCCAAGAGGTGGCACGGGCATGAATAGCCCGTAAGTGGTGGCCCTTTTGAGCCATTACCAGTATCAAGAGCTGATACTGGAGATCTGTGGAGGCGCGACTGCACCCTGCGTGACGGGAGATGTCTCCCGGACCAAATGGTGACCAGATGGGGAGTTTCTTGACGTTGGGTAACCTTAGGAGGACGGACTGATGTGTTCTGTAGGGTGTACTGCATCACAGTTCTTGCATTTGAGTATTGTGCAGCTTCTGCTAGTCCAGAAGGATCCCTGTTCACATTACTTAGAGCAATGATTCCTTGCAAAATATAGTGGCATGTGTGTATTTATAACAAAGCACTGAACTGTATTTTGAAAATCAAGTGTTGCAAGAGTTTGTGTTTTTTTTTTTTGTGCCTGGTTGACTGCATCTCTTCGTGACAAGAGATGATGCTTCTATTGTCAATGTCATGAATGAAAGTTGGTTGTCATGTAATGGGCCAATAATTGTGCTGTCAATTAACCTTATAAATAAAAGCTCTTCATTTTGATTTCTGTTCAATAGCGAGTGGCTTGCTGTGGCTTGTCAAGAGTGGCATAGAAGGAGTCTTCAGTGGCGAGGAAGTACTTTATGCCTGTATTGGTCTTGATGTGGTCTTGGTTCCATGGTAGTGGCACTACAGAAGATACAGACACAGTCAGAGTGTTATTGCAGAGTATTCCTTCGGCAGACAGCGCGCCGCTCTAGCAGACTTAACTGTGGAGCTAACTAACTGTAACCACTTACTGTAATATTGAGAAGGCTGTGCTTGGTGTGGTGAATGTGATGGGCCCAGTTTTTCCTTGATTGAGCAGCGGTGATTCAGCCTGTTCTCTCGACTTTCCCTCCGTAACAAAAAAAATGACGTTGGTGTAGCCTAAGTATAAGCGTCAAAACCTAGGCTACTCGCCTCACCTACTACCACACCCGATACATTCCCTAGAATCGTCAATAATAAGGGGTTTTAATTTCCATAAATCACCGCAATTTTTACGCCTGGGTCGATTATATTCAAAATGTAGTGAGTACAGTAACAGGGAGAGTTGTCGGGCCCCATATTACCTTGATTAGGGGGACCCCCTCACATGTGGCCCTGAATGAGCAGGGGGTAATGACCCCTCTTAGTTTGCCATATTAACTAAGCATATATGGCAACTCAGAAGGAAACAAAAATGATATACACAAATATAATCACAATAAAGTCAGAACTTCGATGACTCTTGAAAATATTGCTTTTTCTCTGGTAATGGCAGCGAGTTTCACCTTGAGTCATAACCAGCGTATCGGGGCATAGTTTCACCTAAATAACTCCTCGGGGTCACATTAATGTATGCACTCTACGCACGCAAGGGGACTACAATAACCTCTCAACTTAAGGTTACAATGTTGGGCTGCCGGAAGCCTCTCTATAGCAAGCCTATATATATATCGACTGAAGCGAGCTGCTTCAGTCAAGTCGTACCCTGATGTTTCCTACAGAGGTCGTGTTTTATTTGATAAAACTTGCAACAGTATATGTCGTTGGACACAAAGGCCCATCGTACACAAAACGGTTCACAAACTGATATTAAGACCTACCTTACCAAATCTCTAACCCAAAATAACGTGGTCTAACCTAATTCATACCAAAAGCAGCCTAACCTAACCCAAACCTAAAACAGCCTAGCCTGAAACTGCCTAACCTAAGCTAAACTGTGTCTGTATGAGACGAGGTATGTTTATATGTTTGGTATGTTAGGTTTGGCGCTCAGCCTCGTCTAGTTTCCATGGTGTAACGTGAGTAGTGAACGCCATGGGACGGCTGGTGACCATCACACACCAACGTCTCCTGTGTAGTCGGGGTTTGATAGTCCGTAGAGGGCAATTTTTCGACTATTTCGGCTTCCTGACAATTTTTCGGCGATTGACGTTGAATCAGGGGTCAGTCACATTGATTCAATGTTATTTGGGAATGTTTTGCCCTCTAGGAGAGAGAACGTGACGAATAAAAGGAAAAGAGGACAGGTGAGTGGGAGAATGTGAGGGAGGATGGAAAGGAGAGAGGCAAGGGAGATGGGAGAGAGAGAGAGAGACCCGGGCACCGCCGAGTACCGGCACTAGTACATCCTAACCTAATGTTATAAAACGGTTTAAATAAACAAAGACAAGATTGGTCGAATCGTCGTAACGGCATAACCATGCCGTTTGGTTATGAGGAATTATGTTAAATTGGGTTGGGTTAAGGCTAGATTAGGTTGGGTTTGGGTGGGTTAAGGTTAGGGTAGGTTAGAACAGAGTAGGTTTGGGTTTAATTAGGTTAGGTTATGTTAGATTAGGACAGCTATCCCAGCCTAGAATAGGCTTGGATAGCTTAACCTGTGTTATGTTAGGCTAGATTAGGTTAGGTTTAGTTGAGTTAGATTAAGCTAACTTAAGCTGTGTTAGGTTAGGTTAGGTCTTAATACAACAGAAATATTGTTAGCGAACCGTCATATTTCCCCGAATTACCTGGCGACCACCATCTCGAGTGGCCTCGACCGGGACAAGAAGCCACCTGCTTGTCATAGGTTCCCCGACATCCCCCTAGAGTCCCTCCCCATGATTATATACATCATAACCTCTATCTAGAAAGAGATCATGACCTCTATCTAGAGGGAGATCATGACCTCTATCTAGAGGGAGGAGAGAGAGTTCCACGAGCCAGAAACACCTCACTGGGTTCTAGATTCTAGAAAGCTCAACTTTTCCTAGTGTATATATAGATCAGGTACATAAATATACAAAGCTGGTATATATATAAAAGAATTTAGGCTGGCATATGCCATTGCTGGGAACAGGAAGCCCATTAGGCTCTCCTAGTCAGGAGCAAGCCTACCCATCCAGTAGAGGGCCTTAACCTGACTTACCAACACTAAATTATAACAGATGTTTATAAATAGTTTCCAAAAATCAGAGTTGAGAATTACTGTCAAAATTGATTAAAGAAATTTCAACGATTGAAATCATCTTTCTTAATAGAATATAACTGGGTAAATTAAACTGTAAATATTAAATATTGTTCGTTATGTCCCGTGATGTTTATTTTTGCGCAATGTTGACTCTGGGATGTTTGTGAGTGTAGGAGTTGTCTGGGATGGTTAAGGAGAGTGGTCAAGGTTAGGGATAATCACCTTGTCACTCGTGGCATTGTCTACCATGATGCAACGCTGACTTGCTCTCAACGCCAGGGTCACCAGTGGAGGCACCGCGAGGGTGGCGTACCTCTGGTGAGGCAGGTCTGGTGTAGAGCAGGTCTTTGTGTTGAGCAGGTCTTGTGTAGAGCAGGTCTTGTGTAGAGCAGGGCTTGTGTAGAGCAGGTCTTGTGTAGAGCAGGTTTGCTGTAGAGCAGGGTTTGCTTGCTCAGCAGGGTTTGACCTGCTGAGCAGGTCTTGTGTAGAGCAGGGCAAACCTGTAGAGCAGGTTTGCTGTAGAGCAGGTCTTGTGTAGAGCAGGTCTTGTGTAGAGCAGGTCTTGTGTGAGGCAAGTCTTGTGTGAGGCAGGTCTTGTGAGCCAGGTCTTGTATGAGACAGGTCTCGCGTGAGGCAGGTGAGTGAAGATGTTTCAAAAGCAGATGTAATGAGGCACACCTGGCCAGGCAGAGGAAGCAAGGCAGCGCCTCCTGACGGGGACGTCACGCCTCTACGCCCGTCCTCCTCACCTTCACAAAGCGAGACTCTAAGACACTTTATGGCCTCTATGTATGCTGTAGAAAATCAAATTCGTATTTAATAACCCTTCATAACCCTCTAGCTAGGCCAAGAAAGCCTAAGCCAACCCGTCCTAACTAATACATTTTGTATTATTTAACTAATACATTTTTGCATCTAAAAAATGGTTAATTGGTAAGGTTGGAAAGGTGTTGTGTTGACGTCTCTGTGTGACGTTATGATGACGCCTCATGGTGACGCCTCAGTGTGACGTCATGATGTATAATATTTCATTATTGTTAAGTTAGTTATGAGGGTTTCATGAAACTGTTGTGTTCTGTATTTTGCGAGGAAAGTGAGTATGTTTCCTGTATCAGAGCTTCAAAGTGATTGTGTATTTATTTACATCCAATCAACCAAACATCCAGTTGTCGGGGGGACAGGAAGCCTGTACATATATCTAGGCACATCTAGGTCCCCGCTAGGTCGTTTATTAGGTTCCGGAGAAACCACAGGACTCAAAGTGCACTGCAATATCCATTAAACACTCCAATATAGCAAGCTGGTTATCTTATCTTTTCTTACCAGCAGGAAAAGGGTGGGCGAGGGTGGCGGGGGCTCCACGCTGCCTCTCGCTCACCACCAGTTGAGAGGCAGCGGCTGGTGATAAGGGAGATAGCGTACTGGGCGCCCCGCCACAGCCTAGCGTCACAGTGACTGGCTAACACCAAGATCAGCCCGTCACTGTGGTACAGCGATTTGCCTTCTAGGTTCGTCAATCAGTGGATTTCGTGGGCATTCGCTGGACAGGCGAGAAATGGTTGGGCAAGTTTCCATTTATCCGATGCCTCTGTGCATCTAGCAGTTAATTAGGCGCTTGGGAATTAGTCAACTGTTGTGGGTTGCAGTCATCTGTCTATTATCCAATTCTACACACTTTACACTTTATCTAGAGCCCCGTGCTAGAACAACGGCCAGAGATACTTGTAGCCAAGCCGTATTTGTGAGCTGTGTCAGCCTCTGTTATTCTGTTAACTTTGTTACGCGTTCCATACAAGTGTTTTGTTTGACACATCTTATTGGTGATAAAGCGACGAAACTGGTAGTTCCTGTTTGCACTCTTTAAAACTGATCTAGTAGGTTCTCGTCTAAGGACGCTCTTTAGCGTGTTATTTGATAGCCTAGATTATGTTCAACATGTGTCTGTAGTCACTGCAAGCTTAGCAACGGGGTCAACATCTCCATGTTCCCACTGGTCACTGTGAGAGAGTCTCCGACACGCCGTGACCCTCACTCACGGGTATGTATGCATGTGTGTGTGTGTGTGGCTGTGCCCGGGTTCACGCAGATAACCACGGGGGTTAGTGACTAATAAACAAAGAAATACTGTGTAATTGCAGCACATCTTATTCTAGGTGAGTACCTATCCCCCCGACCCACACACACACCTACCCTACCCCCTTCCTACCTCTCGCATCAACCATCTCACCATGACTAGCTCTATCCACGTCACCTCCTATCCCCCCCCCCACCCACCCCATCCATCCATCCTCTCCCCACCCCCTCCCTGCCCATCCTAGTCGTGCTTTTAGCTTACAACTAATCCCCTCCTCACTGCCATTCCTTATAGTCTACCCTCTCTATCCCTTACGCGAGGCAATCATTTTCACTACCTTCCCACCCCCCTCTGCAACCTACGCCACGTCATGCACCCTCTGCCTGCTGCATGGTCATGCAACCTTCACCACCACCCCGCCACCCCAGGCTGCAACAGGGACGTTGCTGACTCTGACCTGCTGATGTTGCTACTGGGAGTGTCTCCATCCAAGACGTGTTTGATTGACGGGGAGGAAGTGGCGACAATGGTTTCTTTACCAATTTGTGTCTGCAGGATGGAGATGTTAGCTCTTGGACCCCGCCTTTCTAACCCACGGTTGTCTGATGTACTGACTCAATTGACTCGATTACATCCTAATTTTCTGTATCATATCTACTACAAAGACTTCACACACACACACACACACACACACACACACACACACACACACAGCAATCAGGGGGGGGGGGCTGATAGCTGAGTGGACAGCGCTCTGGACTTGTAATCCTAGGGTCCGGGTTCGATCCCCGGTGATGACAGAAACAAAATGGGCAGAGTTTCTTTCACTCTGATGCCCCTGTTACCTAGCAGTAAATAGATACCTGGGAGTTAGACAGCTGTAACGGGCTGCTCCTCCTGGGTGTGTGTGTGTGGGGAAAAAATAGTTAGTAGTTAGTAACAGTTGATTGATAGACAGTTAAGAGGCAGGCCGAAAAAGCAAAGCTCAACCCCCGCAAGCACAACTAGACGAGCACATACACACAGGATAAAACGACGACCCCCCCCCCCCCCCCCGGGACCACAGGTGGAAATTGAGTGCCTAAATGAGCCACAGAGATATTAGAAAGAACTTTTTAAATGTCAGAGTAGTTGACAAATGGAATGCATTAGGCAGTGATGTGGTGGAGGCTGACTCCATACACAGTTTCAAGTGTAGATATGATAGAGCCCAGTAGGCTCAGGAATCTGTACACCAGATGATTGACAGGTGAGAGGCGGGACCAAAGAGCCAGAGCTCAACCCCCGCAAGCACAACTAGGCGAGTACAGGATGCAGCTCGTAGCGGCCGTGTATCTCTAAGCCACCAAGTTGCTGATCGATGAACAGGGGCATCAAGTGAAAGAAACTCTGCCTATTTGTTTCTTTCTCGGCCGGGAATCAAACCCGGGAACTTAGGACTACGACCCCCGCGCACTGGGATGAGGGGGGAGCACGGAGGACCTGGGATGTGTCCGGGGGAGGGAGGGAGGACCTGGGATGTGTCCGGGGGGGGGGAGGAGGGAGGATCTGGGATGTGTCGGGGGGGGGAGGGAGAATCTGGGATGTGTCCATATACGGACTCAGCTTCAGCTGTCACGTGTTCAAGTTTCGCCTCTCATTGACACCGAGTCACCGTGGATGCCATTGTGGCTCACTAAAAAGCAATCATAAATTCGTGCACCGCCCTTAAGACCTTCTCCAAAAATCAGATTAAAACACGCTTGCCAGCGAGACACTCAGACCTCCGCGGCCAGAAACGAGATTCCTACACACGGAGTTCAATACTATGTGTCTGCGAGGTGAAGCAATCGTCAAAACGAAGGCACAGCCATCGGGGGAGACTATATAGAATCATTACGTGTAGATGGCCAGGTTCCAAATCTGCACAGTAAAATAACAACGTACTGGAGTGAACGATATGGAAGAAAATGCAGAATAGAACCAGTGAAGAGCAGAGGTGCAGAGGTGCCATAGGCACAATCAGAGAACACTGTATAAACATCAGAGGTCCGCGGTTGTTCAACGTCCTCCCAGGGACTATAAGAAATATTGCCGGAACAACCGTGGACATCTTCAAGAGAAAACTGGACTGTTTTCTTCAAGGAGTGCCGGACCAACCTGGGTGTGGTGGGTATGTGGCCCTGCGGGCCGCTCCAAGCAACAGCCTGGTGGACCAAACTCTCACAAGTCAAGCCTGGCCTCGGGCCGGGCTTGGGGAGTAGAAGAACTCCCAGAACCCCATCAACCAGGTATAGAAAAGCAAAATGTAACCTCGCTATCGCCCGGTGAATCGTGGTTTGGATAACAATCTTGATGCTCATTGTATACAAAGTTTGGTTCACTTGCGTTGTTTATTTCATGATGTGTGATGACGCACATGTTGTGTTAGTTCGGGAACGAAGTGAACTTACTACGATGTTGACATAGGCATTTTAAGCAACTGTGTGACTTATGCCAATAATAATAATAATGATAATGTGTATAATAAATACGCACATCTCTTGCTTCTTAGCGTCAAGTGTAAATAAAAATGTTTGCTGGTTTATCCAGATTAGTTATGATGACCTAACTACCAATTGTGTTTACCAAACAATGCTTTCCATATATCGGTCACTTAAAGAGTAGTAGTACTAGTAGGCATCCATCAGTCTCAGGAGACTATGGAGTTGCGCTCTGGTTGTCGGTCTAGAGTGGCCTCTCCAGGGCGCAAAGCCAGGGTAGGTTGATACTGGGGGAGAAGCTGTTACCCAGGCAGCAGGTCCCCCCTCTCCACGGCGCTGAAAGTCTCCAATGGAAAGGCATACGCCAATACGATTGGTTCCAGCACCGTCGCAGGAACTGTGAGCTCCGGGGTTGACTTCGAAGGTGGTGAAGAAGGGAAGTACTTAAAGAGTACTTTCCTAATATCGTTAAAGTTTAATATCGGTACCTGTCTCCTAGTCTGTTCTTTCATTGTGAATTTGCTATTTAGTAATTTTCTCGTATATATATATATATATATATATATATATATATATATATATATATATATATATATATATATATATATATATATATATATATATATATATATATATATTTTCAGCTGGTATCGAAGTTCCCTCAAGGTCGACCTACTGACCTTCCCCAGGATGCAACCCACAACAGTTTGCTTACTCCTGGATACCTATTTACTGTTATTTGAACAGTGATATTTGGTGTAAGGAAACATGCCCATTTATATTGTAAGATCTGCTATAAATAATTAAAATTCTATACCAATTAATACACTACTGTATTTTGCGTTTGAGATGTATTATGCTGTATTTTGCTTTAAATATTATCCACTGTATTATGCCACGTATTATTATTATTATTATTATTATTAAACGTACCTTTAAATATCCCTCCATGATATCATCTGTAAAAATATGATTGGTCGAGGTTTTATGGGAGGAAGACTTGGCATGACAAAAATATACGCCTAATAATAAATGTAGGCCTATAGGCCCCTGCGGCCAGATAACATGGCTCAGTTCATGGTGCTGGGAGAAGTGTACTATAGTTTTCTCTTACTATATTACATGAATAAAATCGATGGAGTGAATAGTATTTACGGCGACCCTTGGCAACCCAACCAGCCACCCTACCTAACTCTCACAGATCACCGGAATGGTTATATATTTAACATTTTATTCACCTCCTTCGTGTTGAATAATGAATTCAAAACATTTTACGGTGATCACATGTATACAGTTAATAATTCCAACCGGGATACGTGGCGTAAAAGAACGTACTAATGGATGAAAATTGAGTGAGGAAAGATGGCGTGAGAACTCCTGTAAAAGCCGGAGGAGGAGGCGACCACTGCCTCAATAACATTAGTGTTGCTGGAGTGGTGGAGGGGAGAGGAGTGTCGCAGGTGACGCAGGGCTCTCGCCGACAATATGGGGCTACTGACGGAGGGAACGCCACTCACCTGGCCCAAGACCAAGGAGCACGCCCACCACGTCCGCAAGCACGGCATCCTGCAGTTCCTCAACCAGTATCACCAGCTCAAGGGTCGTCAAGGTGACTGTCTCAAATGGGGAGATGAGGTAAGTTCAGGCTGGCACTCTTAGTGGCTTGGTGCAGGCTGGCACTGGTAGTGGCTTGGTGCAGGCTGGCACTGGTGGTGGCTTGGTGCAGGCTGGCACCGTAGTGGCTTGGTGCAGGCTGGCACCGTAGTGGCTTGGTGCAGGCTGGCACTGGTAGTGGCTTGGTGCAGGCTGGCACTGGTAGTGGCTTGTTGCAGGCTGGCACTGGTAGTGGCTTGGTGCAGGCTGGCACTGGTAGTGGCTTGGTGTAGGCTGGCACTGGTAGTGGCTTGGTGCAGGCTGGCACTGGTAGTGGCTTGGTGCAGGCTGGCACTGGTAGTGGCTTGGTGCAGGCTGGCACTGGTAGTGGCTTGGTGCAGGCTGGCACCGTAGTGGCTTGGTGCAGGCTGGCACCGTAGTGGCTTGGTGCAGGCTGGCACTGGTAGTGGCTTGGTGCAGGCTGGCACCGTAGTGGCTTGGTGCAGGCTGGCACTGGTAGTGGCTTGGTGCAGGCTGGCACTGTAGTGGCTTGGTGCAGGCTGGCACTGGTAGTGGCTTGGTGCAGGCTGGCACTGGTAGTGGCTTGGTGCAGGCTGGCACTGGTAGTGGCTTGGTGCAGTCTGGCACCGTAGTGGCTTGGTGCAGGCTGGCACCGTAGTTCACTGTACACTTGGTTCACTGTAGTGTTCGTATAAACATTGCATAAGACTTAGATAATCGTGAGCTTTGGAGAAATACTTACAGGTCCTCCAAGAGAAATCAAATGTGTGTTCGCTGTTATAAATGATTAACTGACCACTGAAACGTTATCTATTACAATGTAGACTAACAAATCAGACTAAGCGAATTAACCAAATTTTTCAATATTGGATATAACCTTACCGGAAACAACACGTGAGTCGTTAGTGGTTCCGTTTCCTCCCTTCCTTCCTATCACAAATGTCCTAGTGTGTTTTGCCTTTGTTTTTGTAGTCTTCTACACATCTCTAATATGTAAACACCACTGTATTCTTTCCTACAGTAGCTAAGCTCATGCTCCGGTACTAAATCAAATTCAAAAACTGTTCATTAATGATTTACCTTGTTTTGCATTGGTTACCTTTGTACCATAGGTAATTTATTCTTAGTCTAGTTAGATGAATGCTTAGCCTAGTGGAGGCCGGGCTCACAATGTGAGTAGTGTACTGTATTTGTTGGTCTGCTTAAGAAAGAATGTCAACTTATTCCAACGTACCCAGCCTATTGACAGCGATTTTGTGCTTGCCTGTGTTGAGCTTAGGCTATTTGGGCGCGAATCTCAACTGCCAGTCAACTGGTGTACGGGTTGCTGAGCTTATTGGGTTCTTATATCTACATTTGAAACTGTGTGTGGAGTCAGCCTCCACCACATCACTGTCTAATACATTCCATTTGTTAACTACTCAGAGACATTAGAATTAATTGTTTCAGTGTCATTCTAATGTCTATGTGCGACAATGTGCGTGTTTATACAATGTGCGTGCGTGTATTGGCGTGTGCGTGCAAGCAATGATAATCCCCCGCGTCTTATTAATGCACTACCGACTGGGCATCTCCAAGTATGGAGCCGTCAACACCAGCCTGCCGGGCCGTCAGACACTGTTGCCATTTACACAGATAAATCCTCTTGCTGTTTTCTCTTGGCCACATAAGCAGAACCCCAACACAAAAATGTCCTACATTAAGAACATCGATAAAATAGAGAGTTACGAGAGTAACATCAGTAGGACAGAACTTGAATAGATGTCATTAAGAATGTAATATACAGCAGATTACTTGGCAAGACGGAACAAGATGTAAGTGGATGTGTTTGATGTCTACGCAATGTTTACATTTAAATATAAGCATGGTAAAAAAAAGTTAATGTATTAGGCGATTGAAATCTGAAAAGGCAGGACCCGCAAGGGGCTGGCGTAGGATGGTGCAGGCATAACTAGACAAATAAAGAGCCAAGAGAGCGTACACAAGCACAGAAGTTATACAGACATGGACAGTGATCTCTGGTCTGTGATTACAAGTCTCCGACAGATTGATTGGTTGATAAAGATTAAGCCACCCAAGAGGTGGCACGGGCATGAAGAGCCCGTAAAATCCGACAGATATATCGCTACGTTATATTTGCTCTTCAACTTCTCACTCCTGCCTCGGCAGTTTTCTTTTTCACCTACGGCAAGGCTATTAATTAAGAATTAAGGTTTTCCTGCCTGACATAACGCATATTTTTATATTTAAACGCAGCGGTAAACATCGAACATCATAACCCGTCCTATCTTGTCGGGCAATCTAATGTATAATCAATGTTTCCTTGATTTGTATCTATTCATGTTCTATCCTTCCGATGATGGTATACTCGTGAAATCTCTCTTGTCAACAGCCCTAAGACATTCGTGTTTGTTGTGGTTTTGCCTGTATTACCAACGGGAAAATAGGATTCAGCTGTGGCGTTAATGGCAACAGTGTCTGGCGGTCCGGCTGGCGGCCCGGCTGGCTGGCTGGCTGGTGTTGACAGCTGCCCAATCCGGTAGTGCATCCAACACAAGCAAGCGCACACCTGTACAATCTCCGGTCCGGTCCGCTTAGGCCCGATCCGGCCCGCTCCGCTTAGGCCCGCTCCGGTCCGGCCCTGACCATGCGGCAGGTCGTTCACACACACTCAACTACACAATCTTGATGGATCACTTTGGTACAGGCTCACGTGGTGGTATTCTCAGGACGACACGTAGCTGAGTACAACACTTCCTTCATGACACGTGGTAGATGGTGACGACCAGGTGGTTGGGTAAGAATGGTTCATTAGAGGGAAAGACATGCTTGGTGATCCTGCAGCAACACAGATGAACAACATGTGGCTGAAGTCTCCTCTTCCTTGACACCTAACATCTCAGCGAACACACAGACAAGTTGCAAGTAGCACGGGCTATGGTGAGCCCGTAGTGGTGGACTTACCTTGCACAGGAGCGAGTCTGTAACTCGACAGAGAGAAGCGTGGTGGGCAGACCTTACAACCATCTCCCAGGGGAGAGACAGGTCACCTGCCTACCAAGAAATGGGGATGAAACCTTACTTTATGGAAAAAATGGGGACGAAAAAGGAGTAGGTAAGATTGAACTAAGGATAAATTTAAAACGAATGTTTTCCTTTTTCTCAGAGTGGAATTAAGGAAATCAACCACACTAAAAAGTAGCGTACAAGTGCAGCCGGTTGGAAAACAAAAAGTTATCTAGTTCTTCACATGTGGTTATTCTGCATACTAGGATCCTAATAGACAACACACGATTGATGAAGATTAAGCCACCCAAAAGGTGGCACGGGCATGAATAGCCCGTAACACACTGTTCCCCTATTGCCTATGTTGCATAGGGCTGATAGGCTCGTCATCCTGGTGACGTGTTGTGACGTCAAAGAAACGTCACCGATCACCTGACATGATGTTGACCTTCCTACCTCGGCCCGAGGTGGGAAGGTCAACATCTGCTGAACATCTAAGGTGCTAAAAGACTGCGACTTTTAGCACCTTAGGACGGTTAACTTTCCTGACGCTCCTCTACACGGAATTTTACTTATGGCCTTAAGTGATCTCTCTCTCTGTGGGTACATGAAGGCCCTTATGTATTATGGAAGCACTCGGATTAATCACACTGGTTGCGGCTAGACCAGTACAAAGGTACCAAACACGCTTGATCTTCCTCATGATTATACTTTCCAGGACATTATGTACTCTTGGTGGCGTGCACACAAGGCTGAACACAGTTGTGAGCTCAACATGCCACATTGAACAGGTATTGAACTTCATCTCTCTCACTCTCCTCTCTCTCCTCTCTGTCTCTTTCACGAACGACGTACAAGATACTAAGGGTGATTGCCAAAGTAGATTTAGAAGCAATGTTCAAGTTGAGGAACAATAGAACAAAGCACAATTTGACATTGGAAGCACAGACCAGTCACAGGGATGTCAGAAAGTTTTTCAGTCAGAGTCGTAAATAAGAGGAACGGAGTAGATGAGGAAGTTGTCGAAGCCATTTCGATACACAAATTTATATGTAAATATGATGACAAAAAAAAACAGGGTGAAAAGAGTCACTGCATTGAACCAAGGGTGATTGAAAGGCGGGACTTAAAAGAACATACTTTCCATCTTGCAATCCCAAACCACTTGGGCTGGACGGCAGAGCGACGGACTCGCTTCATGCAGGTTCAATCCCAGACTCTCCAAGTGGTTGGGCACCATTCCTTTCCCCCTCCTTCCCATCCTGATCCCTTCCAAGTGCTAAATAGTCGTAATGGCTTGGCGCATTCCCCTAATAATTCCTTCCCTCCCACCATCATGCAAGCTCAACTTAGGTGAGCACAGCCACACACGGTATGTGCGAGCATTTGTGAAATGATCAATCATTTGACCTCAAAAGATCTCGCCCATATAACTTTCCAGTAATATGTTGAGCGGGGCGGGTGTTGGCTGGCGGTCAGTGGAGCGGAGAGCCAGAGCAGATAGCCTCAAATGTGAGCAGTTAGTTTATAAATATATTGGATTAAGCTCTTCGATCCCCTGATGCCATTTTATACGCTTATGTGATCCCAAATATTCATGAATGTCATCCTGGGCTATGAGGAGAGACTAAAGGAACTGTGGCTTTTGTTCTGGAGAGACGAAATCACGGAGATATGATCATTACTTGCAAAATACTCAATGTAGATATTTGTAAAGGAAAACATATTGAAGATAAAAACAAAGTTATGTTGAAGGTGTGTCAGTTTATATAATGCAGCTCCTATCTCCATCCAACACGTGTGGTCTATATTTAACTATCCCGCGTATCAAACCTTCCACTTCGCTTGTATTCACGAAGCTACTTTGTCTTGTGCCATTGATGCAGAATCTTATTTCCAGATCATCGTTTGCCTATTTCTAGATGTAATTTTATCTAAGGTCACATGTCTATTGAAAACAGGATCAGCTTTTTCACATGTAGCATTATAATTATAATATATATCACATTATAAACCCATGAAATCTATCTGCCGAATAATCCAGGTTATTTGCATTTAGACCTGGATAAAATTGCTATAGAAGCTTTCTAAATTTGTTTCCAGCTCAGGAACCATTGTTAAATAATGTATCCAAAATACGACAAAAGCAGACCAGGAGAACTTCCCCCCCCCAAAAAAAAAATGGCAGACAGTTTCCTACGATCGATATATATATATATATATATATATATATATATATATATATATATATATATATATAGGTGGTTATAATAGGAGCTGCCTCGTATGGGCCAATAGGCCTGCTGCAGTTTCCATTACTACTATCCCCTACACCTGACTTTCCTCCTCAGCTCTCTTGCCTATTTATTGCCTGTCCCTACCTCCTCATCACAATCGACTTGAGAATGGTCCAGGACGGACCGAAACGTCGTCGTCCCTTCAATTTCTAGTGTGTGGTCTGGTCAACATATATATATATATATATATATATATATATATATATATATATATATATATATATATATATATATATATATATATATATATATATATATATATATATATATATATATATATATATATATATATATAATATATATATAATATATATATAATATATATATATATATATATATATAATATATATATAATATATATATATATATAATATATATATGACAATGTCAGACCACGGAGGAAAATGAAACAGGAATTTCCTTAAGTACTTTCGTATATTAATACATCTTCAGAAGGAGTCCTTGACTCCTGAATATGTATTAATATACGAAAGTACTTAAGGAAATTCCTGTTTCATTTTCCTCCGTGGTCTGACATTGTCACATTTTTAATCACGTGTTTATTTTCGTGATATACACACATAATATATATATATATATATATATATATATATATATATATATATATATATATATATATATATATATATATATATATATATATATATATATTATATATATATATATATATATATATATATATATATATATATATATATATATTTTATATATATATATTATATATATATTATATATATATATATATATATATATATATATATATATATATATATATATATATATATATATATATATATATATATATATATATATATATATATATATATATATATATATATATATATATATATATATATATATATATATATATATATATTATATATATATATATATATATATATATATATATATATATATATATATATATATATATATAATTTTTTTTATAATTAATGACTTCTATAACAGTACAGTACCTTTAAATAATATTAATTTTATTAACATCACAGAACAGTTGTGTGAAAATTAAATCCATTCTAATAATCATGTCGGGTGTTCAATCCCCGACCGTCCAAGTGGTGGGCACCATTCCTTCCCCCCGTCCCATCCCAAATCCTTATCCTGACCCCTTCCCAGTGCTATATAGTCGTAATGGCTTGGCGCTTTCCCCCCTGATATTTCTATTCTATTCTATTCCTTATAGAGCGTAAATTAGATTAGGAAAAGCCGGCTAGTAGGCCTGCGCACATTCACCGTTTATATACAGTATAGCATAATTGTAAATGCAGTACACAAACAACCCTTGTATTGTATTTGTATGTACTCGTGACGTCACAAGAATATTTATCAGAAAATATTGAGGCTGTGTAATGGGATTGAACTCGCGTCCCTAGACCCCCCCTTCCCCCTCCCAGGTACATGCAAGCAAGTTAAAAAAAATATCCAAGGACGCGCGGGTTCGATCCCCATTATATGGCCTTATAGCCATATAATGGGATCTCTTAGCTGGTTAAGTGTGTTAGGCGTTGCATTGTTATCTTGATAATTCCTTGAGAGATAAGATTGTTGTCCACCTCACTGGCAGCAACAGTATGCTCCACTTCCTGCCATTTATTTTTATTTATTATTATTTCGAAAAGTTGTTGTTGATGGGTTAGGGGCAACCGTAGCACTGGACTCTATAGTACACTGGATAATGAGGGGTGTATGTACGCCTTTTTCTAAGGTGGCGGAAGGTAGCCTCTTTGGTATTGATAGTGAATCATGGAACGCACTTGTAGCGAGAGGGGTGGAGGGGGGGGGGGTAGATTTTACCCAGGGTGTCGTGTCTACACTATCGACTCCGACATAAAAATTGTGGTGATTTAGGGAAATTAAAAATCACTGCAATATTGACGCTCACTGGGACTAATGAGTATAGCTATTCTTGTAGGTTAGGCGTGAGCCTTTGACGCCTCTGGGTAGGCAAAACAGTTTCATTTTTTACGGAATCGTTCTCCTGAGCGTGGGTTATCAGGTGGATGGGTGAGTTCACCTTTGGGGGCTCACCAGTTGGACCCCTGCAGTGAGGCTCACCAGTTGGGACCCCTGCAGTGTGAGGCTCACCAGTTGGGACCCCAGCAGTGTGAGGCTCACCAGTTGGGACCCCAGCAGTGTGAGGCTCACCAGTTGGGACCCCAGCAGTGTGAGGCTCACCAGTTGGGACCCCAGCAGTGTGAGGCTCACCAGTTGGGACCCCTGTAGTGTGAGGCTCGTGTGGCTAGGGGGAGCTAGGTCCCCGGCTTCAATCACACTCTCTAAACTGACTATCATACTTGGAATGTGTCAGAGGCGCGAGGAGGAGGGCTCTGGAGTTAATCACAATAATCAATGTGAAGCTGACATCGCTCGCGCGTTCTGGAATGTGTAACTCGCCCGGCTCGCTATGCAGGGCCCAGCGTCGACGTCTTAAGCGTCTTCTAATGTATTATATTTACGTGTTGTTCGTATAATATAGCTCTGACACCTTTTGTGACTAATTTGAGTGTTTAATTTGCATCTAGTCCCAGTTCTCTTATGTTTTGCTGTACGTGGCAATGTGTCTGTCTGCTTGGTCAATTCTCCTTAGAAATGTTGTGTTATGCATTGTTACCATTGTTGCGAGGTCCAGATTCCTCGGTCCTTCGCAGTGGCGAGGTCCAGATTCCTCGGTCCTTCGCAGTGGCGAGGTCCAGCTCCCTTGGTCCTTCGCAGTGGTGAGGTCCAACTCCTTCGGTCCTTCGCAGTGGCGAGGTCCAGCTCCCTCGGTCCCCAACAGTTCCGAAGTCCATTTCGCAGAGTCTCCTTGGTTCAGTCTCCTTAGTTCCTCCAGCCTTGTGTAGGGTAGGGTTTGATGTTAGTGTGTCATGGGTGTTGGTAGTTTGATAAGTGCCAACACCCCGCAGGTAAGCCCACGTAGTCGCAAGATTGTGTAGGATCTATGTACAACTTCTAGAGGGTGATGTGTGTGTGCCCGTGTGGTGGTACTGGAGTGGGTGATGTGTGTGTGTGGTAGTATTGGAGAGAATGTGGTGCAGACAGTGTGCTGTGATGTGGGCGTCATCTGCACACCCTCCAGCCACATACCTCTGCAGTACTGCCACACACACCCGACAGACACATGACTCATCAAGGCCGCCACACACGGTGCGATGGACTTTATTTTGTGGCATGTTAGGTAAAGTACATCAATGCACTCATACGAAAGAGCACTCTCCGGAAGTATCGACCTACTTACAGTATATAGATCGTCTTAAACTCTGGCAACTATGTAGTTTCAAATGCGCCTTTATCACGTGACGTTTTGCATCATATGTCAATACTTTTTTAAGAGCCTTAAAAGGAAGCAATATTTGACTTAAAATATCGTCTTACTGTAGCATGAAAGTTGGTAGTATTGATTTTGTTGAAGCTTCACATTTCTCAAACGACAGTTCGCTTTAAATATCACAGTAACTCAGAAATGTACATTATATACACCGAGATATACACCCCCATGTTAACGATGTGTATATAAACTTGTTTGATGGTGAGTATGATAAAGCACCACGACCTTGGAATCCCTCCAGGCCTTAAAGCATACCATCACTACCATAATTATCTGGTATTGCGCCATGGCACTCAACGCGACTTCTACATGCACGCCGCGCATGTAACACATCATGAGTATAACACGGTGTTACATGCATCCTGGTCCACGGTGTGTTACTTGGTACTGGCCTAATTGTGTTATAAGTGGGTCGAGCTTCAGCTCTGTGGTCCCGCCTTACAACTGTCACTCAACTGGCGTACAGGTTCCCGAGCCACATGGGCTGAATTATATCTACATTTGAAACTTGTGTATTTGGGGGGGTTTACTGTACACCTTATTGTGTTGTTCGCAATACACTCTTCAACATGGTTCTCCTGTGTGTTTCAGATAGAATACATGATCATCAAACTGGACCATAAGAACAGGAAGGCGCGGCTCAGTCTTCGGGGATCAGAACTCCTCGAGGTCTTAAGGGAGGCCGAGGAGACCAATCCCAAGTGAGTATTGGGGAAGCTGGGAGCAGTATTTGGGCTCTGGGAAGTAGTGGGGGAGCTGGGAGCATTACTGGGGAGCTGGAGGTGGTATTGGTGAACTGGGGGCAGTACTGGGGAGCTGGGGGTGGTATTGGTGAACTGGGGGCAGTACTGGGAGCTTTAAGGCAGTACTGAGGAAATTTAGGCAATATATTGAAGTTTAGGCATTCTTGCTGAGCTTTAGGAAGTTCTGAGAGTTTTAGGCAGTTCTGGGGAGCTTTAGGCCTTACTGGGGATTTTTAGGCTGTCCTGCAGAGCTTTATGCATTACTGGGGATCTGTAGAAAGGTTATTTGATTTAAATCAGAATTTAAATCAAAGGGCTTTTTAAATCATCCATGATTTAAATAAAAAAAATATTTTAAAGCTCAAACTATATAAAGGTTTTGATTTATACAAGGTTTTGATTTATGCAAGTTTATATCATAAATGTGCATATTATTTTACTTACATAAATAATTTATCATTTAAGGTTCTGTACATTTAAGGCATATATGTATCATGGTGCAACATCCATGAATTTCACAAAATTATTAGTTTTAAATTGAAGCAGTTCTCAGTTTAATAAAAATATAGCCAGAAATATTAAGTAACGCATAAAAAGCCAAAAACTTGGATTATTTTTTTATTTAAATCTGGGCACGACAGAGGAGCTTTGGGAAGCACTGGGGAACTGGCACAGTTTTCGGGAGCTTTAGGCAGTACAGAATAGCTGTACTATGGAGCTGGGGCAGTCCCAGGGTTGGTGCTTGGGCAGTGTTGAGACCACATGGCGGTCATAGGATAAACATGGTTAGTTAAGTGCTACACTATTTTCTGTTAACAGGGAGGTGCGGTCACTGTGGCGGCCGGAATATGCAGAATACATGGTGGAAGGCACCCCCGGACAGCCCTATGGTTCTCTTGTCCAACACTTCAACATCGTTGAGCACAACATGAGCTTCCGTCGAAGTGAAGTACAGAGCTTATTACAGCCCGACGAAGTGGTTCTCTCGCTCACCAACTTTCCTAGGTAATTTGTAGCACGTCTTAATGACACTGATGAAAGGATGTGTGGAATAGAAGTGCAGAAAATTGACTTCTATAACAGTACCTTTAAATAATATTTCTTTTATTAACATCACAGAACAGTTGTGTGAAAATTAAATCCATTCTAATAATCATGCTATACATGGGATATAATGTATATCTTTGTGGGCCTAGCATTTCTTGTCTTAATTACTTAGCAATAAAATCAAAATTTCCTAGTTGATCAGGTGTATATTTATTTATTTAAGGCTTTTAATATACTGTACTGTAATTTCCATTGTCTGGGAAAGGAAACCCTGTACAGAGGCTAAGTTGGCCAACTCTTAGGGCCAACTTTGGCCTACCCTAAGACACGACCCAAAATACGTCCCTAATCACAAGAACCTATTTTACTGCTAATTGAACAAAGGCATCAGGTGAATGTGCCCAACCATTTCTCTCCTGCCTGGGGATTGAATTCAGGTGTCTCAGTTGTGAACCAAGGACATAGACTACTGTGCTACCATTCCATACAAAAGAATAGCCCAGAAACAAGAAGCATGTGAAATCACAGACAAAATGCTGGAATGGATAAAACACAGAAAGCAATTGTGCTAATAGATTGTGATCAGACTTAAAAATTTAGAGGGGAGGGAATCACTAAACTCAGTTTTAGAGCCAACTCTTCTTGTAATCTTCATCAATGACAATGTTGCAAACCATTATCAGAAAATTTGCAGATTATACAAAAATCTACAGAAAAAAAGAGGAAGTTAAAAATATACTGCAGTCATGCATAATGTTGTACATTAACTTCACAAATGGTAAAAAATCTAGCAGATGTGAGATTTAGCAGTATATATCATAGCTACCATATTGATATTGTAAACCCTACAACAGATGATTAGAGAATGATTTTATAGTAACAAATTCCAAGCTCAGATTGAACCAATCAGCCATCTAATCCACTCCCAAAGAAACTAATGACATTGAGTGGTCTTCGTTGACATTGATGGACGAACGACACAGCAACAGTCCAAAAGTCATTGAAAACTGTTCAGCAAATAGGAGCCACAGAAGACAAAATAAATTGGAGTAATTAAACAATCTTGACTAAAAGGAAAAAAATATTGGTTATACAGCTTTAGTGCATTGGTCTACATCACCAACTCACAATCAAGGAGTGCAGGGTTCGATTCCTTTGATAGGCCAGAGACAGTTTGACATGTTTCCTTTCACCTGATGCAACTGTTCACCTAGCATTACAAAGATACCCAGGAGCTGGGCAACTGTTGTAAGCTTCATCCCAGTGAAGGTCAGTAGTTGGCCTAGGGGGAAACCTCGATATGCCTAGGTATAGGCTTCCCATTCTCCAACAGCAGGAAACTAAAACCCTTATTTTCCTCTACCTAAACAAATATACTGTATCCCAAGTACCAAGTACCAAGTACTGTATTGCAACCTCGATGTATTTTATATTACATCCTCATGCAGTAAGCTTAAAATGAAACACTGAGGAAATAGTATACTTTCAGGATGGGTTGTGAGGACTTTACCTACCCACCATCTTGTCCTGATCCAAATTCTGGAGTTTCTCGATCTCTATTCTTCCCGGAAGCTGCCATCACACAGAGTCATCCACGCTTCAAAACATTAACACGCAACATTCGAGAGAGACGCAGAGAAAAAGTTGCAATCAATGTCCCTAGTGAGTGATTTATTTGCTAAAAGTTTTTAATTGGTTAATTTGAATGTCAAGTTTGACAAATTTAACATATACTAAAATTTCCATTGGAGTACAGTACTGGCATATTTCAAATTGTATTTGATAGTGTTCAGTGATTTGAACATCATTAATGTATTTTACACAGTCCATTACTCATTATACATAAATTTTAATAATAATTTGTATTCGTACAAAATATACATTTGTTATACTTTTATTTTATATTTAATACACATTTTTTACTTTCATTTAAGTTTTAGATTTTCTGCAAGGCCTCTAATTAGCATTTTGGGCAAGAATTGAGGCTGGGAAAATAATAGAATGTTGAGCTTAGTAAAGCACTGTTTTCCAAGATGGTTTCTCGGATGCTTTCTCGATATAAGATCTACTGTATTTGGAACAATTGGGATATTGCCACAATGCTAGATTCATGATTTTCTCCCCAATGCCTGGTAAGTCTTTGCTTACATAAATCTTGCACAGATACGTAAATCTGTGTATCTATGTATTTACGTATGTAGGTTAGCTTAGCATTTTAAAAGCACCGAATCACCGTCTGTGGTTGATTGTTCAATAAACCCCTGAACTATATGTTTAACACACCTCTAACCCTGTCCAAGGAGGACAGAAGAAAATGTATATACAGTATTTTGGTTAGCATTGTAAATGTGTGGCCATGTCTGTGGTAGAAAATAATAAAAAAAAATCTTTGCAGTAGGTCATACCAAGGAGAGAACGAGGTAAAGGAGGCAATGGCAAATGCATTATAGCATGCGACAGGGAGCAATTCTTTCAGAATCCCTTGCAAAGGCGTAATAACAGCATAAAGAACGGTAATTTGCACTTTAAAACAGTCCTTATGGATAGAACTATTAGTTGCTACTGCATGGTGGCAGCACCCTACATCTAAACAGACTACTTGGATGTTACACACCTTTAGCCTAAACCCACCACCCACCAAACAAGCTTGGGAGAGATGGGATAAAAAAGTTGGGAATGGATGCATCCGTGGAATCAAACTCAGGAAATACTGTAGTGTTTTCGCTTTGCTCAACACTTAAAATCTTGGGTAAAGACACTCAAATGTTGCTCTGAGTATCTTATGTTGAAAAAGGGGTGAAATAAGAAAAAATGAGATAGGGCATTTACCTAAGCTGGGAATAGATGTTACAGATGTTAGTACTGTAATTCTTTTCGTATCATGAGCCAAGACGAAATGGGGTCTTCGTACCCGTAATATTTATTGGTGTTAATTTAATCTCTCTTGCATTTCAACTCATTTTATTGAATTTATTTTTTCAGTTTATGTAGACCTTAAAACTCCAAGACCATTTGTAGAAGATTTATCCCAATATGGAGATGATGGCAGTTCGGCAGCGGCAGCGAAGGAGGACCATGTGTACATGGATGCCATGGGCTTTGGAATGGGTTGCTCATGTCTGCAAATGACCTTCCAGGCATGTAATATCAATGAAGCCCGGGTTCTCTATGATCACTTAACACCGCTCTGTCCTGTCATGGTAAATATTGTACGTTTGTAGCGCTTGATGAGTCCAGTTGGGTTAGATCCTCTGGAATTTAGATTGATATAAGCCTAATATATATACACATTGACTACCTGTACCCAACACAATGAATTATTATTATCTCAATGTTATTTTACTTTATTATGGCTATTGTTTTACATTTTCAAATAGGGTACATTGTTGGATTTTTATATTTATCTTTTCCTCTCAGTGACTGCCTTATATTCTCTTAACCCATAAAAGGGTTGGGTAATTTAAAGTCCTAAATCGTTATGTGCATGACAAAAAACACCAGTAAGTAGTTTTTCAAACTAATGTATAAAAAAAAAGTCATTTGGTGATTCAAGCACAGGAGGTAATCACAGATAGCAATTGGAGGAGTTGTATGTTGCAATCTATGTTGCAGCTGTATTCATTTCATCCACAGCTTGCTCTCACTGCTGCTTCACCAGTTTACCGAGGATATCTGACAGACATCGACTGTAGATGGGATGTGATTGCTGCCTCTGTAGACTGTCGCACTCGGGAAGAGCGTGGGTTGGATCCTCTCAGAAACGACAGATTTGTGATACCCAAGTCTCGTTATGACTCGGTGGACTGCTACCTCTCGGAGTGTGGTGCCAGGTTGGTTACTAAGGAGAATGTTTACTGCTTAGTTTAAAAATATTATGATACTTTCTTTGTTGCATTAAGGGCAAAGGTTATAATTAAGTGCAGTAATAATTCAGTGATACTGGTCCTAAGTAATTACTTAAGTAACACTTGGGTAATTACACACATACACACAGGTATCGACGAAATTGGCAAAGAATAATGTTTGAAAACTACAACTTAAGAACAAGAGGACATAGGTTCAAAATAGGAAAACAAGGCTGTTGAAAAATTGTTAGAAAGTTTACTTTTGCAAATAATGGTAGATGGTTAGAACAAGTTAAGTGAGAAGGTGGAGGCCAAACCAGTCATTAGTTTCAAAGCATCATATAACAGAGTACTGTACTGGGTAGACGGGACACTACACATCAGCTAGACATAAACAGCTTACCAATGGCTTAACAATCAGTAGTTTCAAAGTGTTATATGACAGAGTGCTGGGAAAACGGGGCACCACGAGCATAGCTCTCATCCTGTAACTACACTTAGGTAATTACATTTAGGTAAATAAAATTATAAGATCCATTAACACACACCCATCCAGATAAGTAAGACATTGGTGTCACTAGATTTGAGCACCATACTTTTGAGCATAATGATGTTTCCACACATTTAACTACCATATATAAATTCCTCAAATTACACACCATTGAATAATAATAGGGCAAAAGAATAGATATAAAACCATTCAAAGACATTGAAATAGTTATGTAAAGATGTATTTACAGCAGGTGCTATGCTGACCTTGGATCACTGTTACAAGTTTATAAACACTCAACCATCTTATTGGTTCGTTATGGTGCACAAAAAGTAGATAATTATATATAACATGTGTATGTACTGTATTATAATAACAGCAAAAACACTGATTGATCTACAAATATACAGTAATATAGTACAGTACTGTATATGTGTCACTAGATATGAGCACCATATTTTTCAGCATAGCGATGTTCCAAACATTTAATTACTAGTATATAAATTCCTCAAATTGCACACTATATATATATTGAATAATATTACTGTAAAAATCTAGACATAAAACGATTTAAAGATATTGAAATAGTTATGTAAAACTGTATTTGCGGCATCCTCTGCCAAACTGCTTGGCTTATAGCACATCGCTGCTGGTGTGTACTCTATCAGCACCTGAATATTCTCAGACTCTGTCATTCCATCGCGGCCAAAGAATGTCACATACAATTTTTTTCTCCTGTGATCAGAGAACACATTTTAACAGTATTTGAAGGAAAAAAAATTAGGGGGAATAAATTTTTTCTACTCACTGGGGGTTTGTCATATTTAATAGCAGTGCAGAAGAGTAGCTAGAATGTAACCATGAGTATAACAAGGTGTGAACCGGAATTGTATATCTTGTTGCTTGACAGATTCTAATTCTCCGACGGACAGGTATAATGATATCCCTGTGGTGTGTGATAAGGAGATCCGGCAGAAGCTCATAGATAGCAACGTGGATGAGTACATGGCTCAACACATATCACACCTCTTCATTCGGGACTCCATATCCCTCTTCTCGGAGAGGATTCATCAAGATGATACAAGGGAAATGGACCACTTTGAGGTAGGGAGACAATATCTCTCATTATCTCTTGTGACTTGCAAGTGTTTGTTTTGTAAAAACTTTCTAAATAATTAAAATGGAGAAAAGTTGGTATTGGATAAATTTTTTAATTAAATTTCTGATTTTTATTTTGATTAGAAAAGTAATAAAGCTGAAGAATCAGTTTTTGCAGACAATGTCACAGTACAGTGGCTGAAAATTAATAACCCATGCCACACTTATGAAAAGAAAGGAAACATTGCAACTTTTTGTGTGGGTTAGGTTATTGGACAAATTTTTAATAATATTGTGCAACACTAAAATACTGTGCAATATCATGTTCTAAATAACCTAATCATGCTGGGATGATTACTGTACTGATCATGATTACTGATAACTGGGATGAACATGATGGGACTACAGCTCCTATCTTCAGACACCTCACGTCACCAAACTTAATGAAGGATTCAAGTATGGCATTTCCTGCCAGGTATATGCTTTATGTCCAAAAATGCATCACAACGCAGAAACACTAAATATATTAAAAAATACACTGTAGAGAATATTAATTAAGTGTTGAGGTATTGTTCTGCATATGATATTGGAATGATGTCATGTTGAGTAAGGTTTTGTTAATTGAGTGTTGGAAAGTGGATGTTATTGAAGTCAAGGCTTCAGTTGAGGAACTGGATTAGAATGCTGAAGTTTCATCACCTGACTCGTTCTCCCTGCATATTGCAGTCATAAATACAGTCAGCTCAACAATTGTGTTGTTCTGAGTTTGAATTTCTGCTAGAACAAGATGTTTGGGAACAACTTATGCTTAAGAAAATCTTTTGAAGCAGTGTGATGGAATAAAACTCTCATCCTGGGTTTGGAGTGACCTGGGATGGGAGTTTGATCCCATTGTATTACTCCAAACATTTTTCTCACTGCTGTATCATGCTATTGTGATTTCATTGCTCACTAATGCCTTATTTTAAATATAGTAATTACAGTGTACACCAAATGTAACATTAAAACTTTTTTTGTGTTTTTACAGAACATTCAGAGCACTAACTGGCAAACAATGCGATTCAAGCTGCCACCAGTTAATAGCAACATAGGGTGGCGGGTGGAATTTCGACCTTGTGAAGTTCAGTTAACAGACTTTGAAAATGCTGCCTTTGGAGTGTTCATCGTGCTGCTCACTCGTGCAATACTTACATTTAGACTTAATATGTTAATTCCAATATCAAAGGTAATTTTTAATTTATAACTGTTTATGGACAACTCTCACAAATCAAACTTAAAGGTATGGGGGGTAAATAAAGATATTTACAAGAGAAGTCATAAAGTGACTTCGGGACTTTTTCAATGTCACTAAAGTGATGTAGTGATGTTTAGTCATGCGTCACTAAAGTGATGTTGGTTTGACAAATGAAAGCTGTATTTGATCATTAATATTTAATGCTCTTGCCACTTCTCAGCTACAAATGCAGTACATACAGATGGCAAGAATGCTTGGAATGTACAATGAACATTGGGATGTTCAAGAATATGATCTGAAACATTTGTAACATACCAGAAATGTCACACGAGGCTGAACACAACACATTTCTAAAATCATCAGATATCCTTTTCTGATTCATGCTAAACCTGAACATCATAAAAATTCATCCATGCAATTCAAAACTTGGTATAAAAAGAACTTATTATAGTACAGTACCATCAAATCCACATTATCAAATACTGCGCAAATTGAGGGCTGCCTGTATGTACAGTACTGTACTGTATATGAATTTGTTGATACTACTTATTATATCTTACATGTTTTATAATTATGTACATTCGTCCCTTGTTATGGGCAATTAGGTTTGTGCAATATTTGATATACTAAAGGTACAGTAGCTATTTAATACTAAGACGATGAATCATAATAAGGTAATGTAGCTGAAGATATGATGACCAAACCATATACCAGAAGATGAAGAAACGACGATATTTTGGTCCGTCCTGGACCATTATCAACTTCTTGCTTGGACTTGATAATGGTCCAGGATGGACCGAAACGTCTGCATTTCTTCATCTTCTGGTGTGTGGTTTGCTCATCATATTTAACACTTAAATTTTTTTTTATAATTGGCTAAATGTGACCTCTAGTGTAAAGTTTGTGGTTTTCTATATGATTCAGATACAGTACCTTCATCTATCATGTATCCTGTACTGGCCATGGTAGTATCAGTATCTGGCCATACCATTGTTACCCAAAGCACACCAGAAGTTGAGGAGACTACAATGTTTCGGTCCGTCCTGAAACATTATAAGGTCCTGGACAATCGATCTGATAATGGTCCAGGATGGACCGAAACATTGTAGTCTTCTCATCCTCTGGTGTGCAGTTTGGTCATCATATCTTCGGCCACATTAGTGTGACTCACCATCTGCATTTGTTTCCCATAATACACTTTTCTAAATGTCGGTACATATTGTTCAACGGCTTATGAACTGTATATCTGACAGAAAACAAAAGAAAGCCTATACAGTACAAGTAAAATATGGCCCATTCATTTGACAATTAAGATAAATTTATTTGTAATCTTCTTAAATAGTACTGTACACGATTCATGGAAAGTGCGTTTTAATTCTTATCAAGTTATTTGATACTTTTTTCAGCATTTTATTTGAGTATATTTGTTTCATTCTATTTAATATTCCAGCACTATAGTTACTTTTAAGGCGATGGTGGCTGGTCACAAACATCCAGCTGGGTACAGGTAGCTTTTACCTCTTTATGACTTTTAAGTGGAGAGTATTTAATATTCCTGTTCATGAAGGTGCTTTATCAATTACAGAGTTAACAAGTTTTTTTTTTTTAAGTCTCTGGATTGTAAAACACTTATCATATACAGTACACACGTCGTCTTAGCCCAATTTGCATGAATTTTTCTTTACACAGGTTTCACAGGAACATAATTCTCTCATGGCTTTCCACAGAATGCATCTTTCACATATTGGAAGGACTAACTATAGAAATGATGTTAAAGGCTGCATTTGCTTTTAATACAGTGTACAGTACTCTATTTTTTCCATTAGGCAAACTTCATTTCTATAGTTTGTCCTTCCAATATGTGAAGGAGGCATTCTGGGAAAGTCATGAGAGAATTATGTTCCTGTGAAACCTGTGTAAAGAAAAACTCATGCAAATTGGGCTAAAAAAGTCGTGTGTATATGATAAGTGTTTTACCATCCTCGGACCTTAAAAAAAAAACTTTTTAACTCTTTAATTGTTCCTATCATTTTTCCATTGTTTGCAAGCAAGTACTCTACCTTCATGCTCTTTGAAAGTTGATAGTTTATCACCATTATAAAATTATGTTCAAATGTAGTCGTGTGCAATAATTTTTTTGTTAATGTTATTCACTGACAGTGGACTATAATTAAAGTTCTTCTTCAGGTTGATGAAAATATGAAGAACTGCCAGAAACGAAATGCGGTACTGGATCAGAAGCTGTGGTTTAGACGAGAAATTTTCTCCCGCGAGTGTGACAAGGGTGATGATGCGTGTCAAATGACTGTCAGCGAAATTATTAATGGAAAGGTAAAACTTCTTTTGCTATTATTATTATTTCATCTGGCTTTGCCACATAAAAATGCTAATGAAGCTAGGGAGAAACAAGACAGTGAGCACAGATGTAGTTTCACCTTGGGTTGTGAGAGAATGTGCATTTGAGCTCAGCCTTTCACTTTTATTGATTTTTCAGGCATCTTTATGTACAGGAGTTTTGGCAGATATATGGAAAAAAAGCAAACATAGCTCCAATCTACATAAATGTAAGCAGGGAAGACCCTGTTAATTATAGATCTGTATTTCTGATAAGTATTGTAGTTAAAACATTAGAGAAAATAATTAAAATCAAGCCAGTCTACTTAATTTCAGTGACAGAGCAATAAAGATGGTTGGATTGATTGTATTTATCTGGACCTAAAGAAGGCTTATGATAGTCCCACATAAGAGGTTGTTCTGGAATATGTTGGAGGAGTGACAGGAAGACTTATGACATGGATGAAAAAAATTTCTGAAAAAAAAAAAAGTGAGGGTAGCAATCATAGGCACTGTATCAGACTGGAGAAGTGTTATGAATGGAGTACCTCTGATAAATACACACTACTACAGACCTTGATAAAGAGAGAGAGAGATCAGAATCTGACAGACTCTTACAAATTCTCTGCAAGTGTCATATAGATCTTTTCATGGTATGAAAAGATCATGCCATGAAAGACGTAAATGTTTTCATGGCATGAAGTACTCAGTCACGAGCCTGCAGAAGTACATAATCGTTTGGGACTGTAGAGGCTTAGTTGCGACCTCACAGTGCCTGTTACTGTACTCCTAATGGACCCAGTTGAATGACTGGGTCCATTCAGCAGAATTCCATGAATAAACACAAGACAGGGCTACATTGTTGAAGTGACACGAGAGCTTGGATAATGTCACTCTCATGAATTTCCCTGACCGTATTGACCTCAAAGGGGTCATATCAATGAATATGTCTACGGTGGCACTTTGGAGTGCTTTAGTGGTCTACCAGAGTGACTTAGTCATGTTTCAATGACTTGAGATTCTCCAAGGTTAGTAACTAGTTTTGGTGCTAGAGGAAAGCCATGGCCTAACATAGCAACTATCATTACATTTGACTGCCTTAAATTGTGTGGATAGTGATAATTTGTATCAAGGCCTGAGCATTCAATTCATGATAACAAATGGTGAAAGTCAAGGGATTCAACACTATCTCAAAACTCTTGGTGTCAAGATAGAAAGGCCCACTTGATGTTCAGTAAGTTTGTGAGAGGATCTCAAAAATTTGTTGTACATTGCTGATGGGGAATGAATTGTCAGGAATCCCTTTACCTTAAAGGTGCTGCCACTTTCGGGAGGTGGGCAGGCACCAAACTAGAAGTTAGCAGAGCAATACTTGGTGGGCTCTTTATTGCTAAGTATTGCTTGGACGATTGATTTTTGAGAATGAACCTTTTGTTGTCATATGGCATCCTGAGTGATGTTTAGGACCTTTTGCATATCTCATAACATGGATGGTGCTAGTATTCCCAGCTTGGTGCCTTCTGCAGACACAGCACGTATTAACTTCCCCGTCTTGTTTGGGATGAGGTCACACTGCCCTTGCTGGAATTTTACCACGTCCATGTGAGTGCAGGTCATGACCTAAAGGAAGTGACAGAGTGGTTCACCTCTGAAATCTGGCTGTTTAAATAGTAGTGCTTCCTCGATCTTAGCAAATGTGCTTATGATGCACAATTGAGAAAACGAAAGAAAAAATACAGGAAAAAGTGAAGAGATGAATAAATCTGTGTGTAAAATAAACAATGAATAAATTTTTTCTAATAAAAAATAAAGAATAAACAAATGAATAAAATAACTCGTAATGTCATTGTTATTTAATATCTTTGCCGTTACTTTTTATATAACATTTCTTGTTTCAGAAATGCTTTAAATTATAACACAAAATCATACAGATAAATCCAAAGAAACACATCAATATACATTTTATTTTTGCAAATTTCTGATTACACTCCTATTGTCATTTGTTTGCTGCCCCTCCTTTCATCATGCTCACTTCATTTTATTCATACTTCTCTTTTTCATTACACATTTGCATTACAATTCATTACACATTACACATTTGCATTTACATTTCATATTTCATTGCAGGGAGAAGAGTTCGTGGGATTAATCCCATTGGTGCGTCAGTATCTGGGAGCACTGGACCTGGATGCGGACACAGCGTGTACTATTGGCCAGTATTTAAACTTTATCAGTGCCCGAGCTGCTGGGACAGCAGTAACAACAGCTACCTGGATAAGAAACTTCATTACCTCGCATGCAGAATACAAGTAAATATACCTAAAGATTTAAAGTATCATATCATGTTTACCACGTTTTGTATTTTAATATGTCTTTACTGGGTTGGTGCCCTTGAGGGATTCCTTTAACGAGACACCTGGATAGCTACAGGACTCCACTGAGGGGAAGCCTCACCAGAAAGAGCTATTTCATTACATTCAGTGCTGGATTTTTATAATTTTTTGTTTAATTTGAATCCTAGAGCTGTTGTGTCGAGAAGAATCCCGGTAAACATCACTTAGCTGTACACTACAGTATGTTAAACTAAAAATGAGCACTGAAGATTTGTTAAGCTGATACAGTACAAGTGATCATCAGTTTAGTACCTAAAATAAGAACAGTGTGGGGATGCTAATATGTTCTGTAATTTTAGTTTTTGGTTGTGAGCAGTAGTGTATGTGAGCCTCGCAAACTGTCACTGTTTATTTTGTGTGGTTGTGGAGACTTCTTTGTGGCACTCCATCCCTACCATTTGTTCTTGGCCAAGAATGAGAGACCGACTTTTAGGAGAGGGTTCATTGTAATTCGGACCTGGGTCATTTATCTTACACGGTATTTTAGCTGATGCCCTGTTTTGTTATTTGTTAGCATCTTGGCACTTTCATCTTAAATTTTCAGTTTCCAGCATCATGGTTCCACATACCAAGTGCTGTCTTGTGGTTAGTTCAGAGTCGTCAAGTCATCTGAAAGCCTTTGCATTCTTCTCTTCAGTGTCTTGTGCTAAAAATACACCATAAAGGTGAACAAATGGTCAGAAGACTGCCAAATGCTTTTTAATATCAATAAATGCAAATGTGGGGCATAATAATCCATGTCACAGTTATCAAATTAACAGCATTACCTTGTAGCAGATTGATGATGAAGAGGACCTTGGAGTCAGAATCCATCATTTGCATAACATTTCCATCAAAGTTGCACAACAAGTGGGACCAACAGTAAAATGATAAGATGGATTATATAAATCCTAAAATCCAGGGATCCCATCCACAATGCTCATACTATTGAAATCACTGATGCTGTCATCCCTTGAGTACTGCTTGATACTCGCTTTTTCCTTCAGAGCAGGAAAGATTTGCTGAAATAAGAGGAAATTCAGAGGACATATACGGCTCGCATAGACACAATAAAGCACCTAAATTATTGGGATTGCCTCAAAATGTGCTCTCTAGAAAGGAGACAAGAAAGGTATCAAATAATATTTACATTGAAGGTACTGGAGGGCTAGGTCCCAAATTTATAACATACTGGAGTGAACGATATAGAAAAAAAATGTAGAATAAGAGCCAGTGAAGAGTAGAGGTGCCATAGACACCATCAAAGAACACTGTATGAACATCAGAGGTCCACTGTTGTCCAATATCCTCCCAACAAATACAGTACAGTATAAGAAATATTGCCAAAAAAAGTGGAAGTTTTCACAAAAAAACTAGACAGTTTCCTGCAAGAAATGCCAGACCAACCGGGCTGTAGAATGTCTCTAAAGGCCTCTCCAAGGAAAGGCAGCCTGTTGGACAAAGCTCTCACAAGTCAAGCCCTGGGCTTGGGCTAAGGGAGTAGAAGAACTCGCAGAACCCCATCCAGGTACAATAGTAAACAATAAAAAGCAATTTTCTGAGCACTAAATTTGGGTGCTCCAATTCCAGCCTAGCTTGTGCTCGGTTTTGCTTTGTCTTAACCCAGAGTTTCTGGTGGAGTGTTGGGAGGTTGGACTGTATTGACTTTGTTGGGGTTTTTGGTAGTGTCACCTCATGGTGACCTAGTGGGGGTGTTTGGTAGCTTGGTCATGGCTTGCCTGTCTCTTTGATGCCAAGTTATGACTGGAAATGGCAAGACTTATGTTTACATCCTGGGCTGAATTAAGTATTCTTCAGTGTCTCTAGTACCAATAAGACCAGGTCAGAACACTATAAAATTCCCTGTTACACATGCAGAATATTTTGTCTTGACTGCATTAGATCTTAACCAGAGGTCAGTGGGATCTTGCTTTAAGGAAAAGTTCTTTTCATATGCATTCAGAGCTGGATTTTTGGATATGAAGCTCATGTTTTTTTTATGTCTAATTACACATTAACCTAGTTGTACAGTTATATGACACCCTTAATTCTTACAGTAACATAATGTTTTTGTGTATTCGCAGACAGGATTCTGTTGTGAGTGATGGAATTGCTTACGACCTGATTATTGCAGCTAGTGATATCACACAAGGGAAACAAGAGTGCAAAGAGTTGCTTGGTGGTACACCCAAAACTAAAACATCAGAAGATATACCAAAGGCTATGAAGAAGATTATTCAGATGTCATGCTTGGCACCACGCAATGCCGAGTAACCACCTTCCACGTTCCCTTCCCCCTTAATTATCGTTATAGCGTAATGCAGATGTCGGATAACACACCATAAAAATGTATGCAGTGGAATATAGAGAATGAAGTGATTGCTAATATTTATTTAATCTGCTTGGACAGTATACAAAATTACTTTTCAAATTTGGGCTACAGAATGTGATATTGATGTTAATGACATTCAATTGGGATTAATTTTACTTGGATGGACAAGTCATAAAATGGGAACAACTTTTCTACTGCATGTTAGTCAGCTTCCACCAAATGGTCATTTGGTGGTGGTGGATGAAACTGGGACCAGAAGTATTTTTAAAACCCAAAGAGCTTGCAGTTATACCACATAAAATAATATTTTCAGTATATTAATGAGTACTGCATCACAATTTTTTCCTATTAAAAATGTCATTGAATCTTTTCTGGGAGAGAGACTTCATTGGCTCCCTGAAGATAGCCATCATGGGGTCCACAAGAAAGGCATTTTTGATTATATTTCTTTGAAATATGTTTTTTTTTAATCTGAGAATTTTGTAATTTAAGACAATTGAATGGTACTGTACTTAGTAAATTTTAAATACAGTACTGTATGTAAATAATTACACATGCTAAAATAACTACTTGTAGATTTTTTCTATGCACTGGTGTATCATGAAGTATTTATGGCTGCTCTAACTAGGTTTTATTTAATACAATTCAAATGTGTAATTCGCATACATCAAAGTCATTCCAGACAGAAGGCTTTAACATTATTGCAAGTCCATTGAAAAATAAAATTTTAAATTAAAAAATTATTTTTTTTATACATAAAATAATTTGTATAAACTTGTCTATAGTATGTATGTATTCACCTAGTTGTGCTTGCAGGGGTTGAGCTCTGGCTCCTCAACCTGCCTCTCAATTATCAATCGATCAACTTATTTATTAACAATTATTCTGTGAAATACTATTTATGTATTTAAATTGGCACCTAATTATAATATATACAATAGAATATACTCTATGCAAATTATAAAAAATGGATCATACATTGTATTATAAAAAATGAATTGGGTAGGGTATACTACACTACTGCCCACAGGATGCATATAATAAATCTAATTCATTGTGTAGAGGGGACAGGAAGCCACAGTGTATTCATACACAGTAGACTTATACTGAGCCCCCCACCCCCCATCAAAGGCTGAATTACTGACCCCACCTAGGATGCAACCCCACAAGAAGCTGACCAACTCCTGAGTACCTACTCACTGCTAGGCAAACAGCAGCATTAACTGAAAGGAAATGTGCCCAACCATTCCTGTCCCACCCAGGAATCAAACCCAGAATTCTAGATTGTACATCGAGAACAAATCCGACTGTACTAACTACCGGTTATGGGGAAACAATACCCTTCGACTATAACGCCGGTGCACAGGATGGGTATTGGGTTTAGTACTACCAGTACATGTACTCTGTATCACCCACATGTACTCTGTGCCCCACCATCAAACATCCGATGGGTATTAGGTAATACATGTGAAAAAAATATTAATTAATAATTACCAAAGTTTATCAATTTATTATACAGTTCGTGCAACCTGGGAATGGTCAGTAATTCAGCCTTGTGGAACACAGCATGGAGTTCTTGCAGGACAGTGCTCCAAATTTAGCTAAATTTATTCGTAAGGAAGTAATTGATTACCATCTCTGATTACCTCTTAGCAGCCCGAGGGCACCAATATTCCGAGAAAATAAAGAAAATCTAGTTGATTTGGAGGCAGTTAATTAATAATTTTAATAATAATAATAATAATAATAATAATAATAATAATTAAGATTAATAGTTCACCTTTGGTATACATAGCCACCACCTATGGCACATTTTAGTATTTTGGATGATTTTAAGGCTTAATAATTGAGTGTAATTAATTATCAAAAGAAGGCACCAAACCGGGAAATTAAGAGTGTAGTGAAGTAGTCAGCGAAGATGATAGCTGTTGACAGATGAATGCTCTTTACTAAAATAGTTTACTCTACTAAAAATAGTTAACAAAGTGGAGACTTATAACTTGTTTAACTAATGTTTCAACCCATGATTTAAACAACTATTCTACAGTGCATCTTGTAAAAGGTTAGCATTTAGGAGAAATCTTGGTGCATCTCAGTAAATTATAATAAGCACTATAAATTACTACATAAAATAATGATGCGTTTGCTAAGCAACATTATATACAAGAGTAAGTTTTGAAAATCTTAGAGAATGGGTTGAAGTAACGTTCCAGAAAACGATGTGACGCTGGAATATACATGGGGTACACTACTGCAAACAGATGGATTTAGGATCCACAACAAATCACACGATGTTTATTAGGTCCACTACCACCCAAAAGGATAGGTATGGGGTCCATTTTCACCCGTTGGATGGGCATTTAGTTCACTACCACCCACAGGATGGGTATGGAGTCCACTATCACCGAGAGGATGAGTATATGATCCACTACCGCCCACACTACCACCTGTAGGATAGGTATGGAGCCTACAGCCACCCATAGGATGGGTATGGGGTCCACTATACCATCCTCAGAATTGGTATAGGGTCCACTACCATCTTACAGGATGAGGCGCGCCTCATCCAATAAGACTAGTCTTGAGACTTATACTCCAGGCGCTTGAGGAGTACCTTGAGGAGATGGAGACAGAAAGCAAGTAATTATCAAAAGAAGGGACCAAACCGAGAAGGCTATGTAGCACCATCAAATGTGCAGAATAATCAGAGGGTGCTAAATATCACCAAGGATGCCAATACGAGAACAAAGACGCACAAGGCGAACGACATCAAAAGTCTTCAAGGCTTCGTTCTTCAATTTTTCAAGCCCTCCAAGCTTTCTTACAGGCATCAAAGCAAGCACAGGTGAAGCACAATCAACTAAAGATCTGATGTATGCAAGGTACATAATTTTGACAATTCTGACATTGGCACCATAGCCCGAGTGACAACCTGCAACAGCTTTGAGAGCTGTTGTTGTTGTTATAGATTCAGCTAATCGGAACACGTTCCAAGTAGCACGGGCTATGGTGAGCCCGTAACTTACCTGGCACAGAAGCGGGGCCAGTAGCACGGGCTATGGTGAGCCCGTGGTGGACTTACCTGCCACAGGAGCAGTGCTGTGTTGGCCTTGAGAGCTCGGAGTCTCTCTTTATACTGACAACAGTCTGAATACAACAGGACCATACAGTGGCACCTCAAGGCCAAGGTATTCCAGGGAACATAGGATTAAGGACTTACTCGAAACGCTATGCGTGCTAATGGCTGTACAAGAATGTAAGAACTCTTGTATATATAAATACAACTTGTGTGTAACTGTTCCGAACCTTAATGGAATCTGACCCATATATCAATCAGGTCAACCCATGTGTTGCGTTTCCAAAAGGGTCGCCCATGTTAGAATCGGTGAACGCCCTAGTAATATTGTTGAAAACATCTTAATAACTTATTAAACCAAAGGTCTTTTCATGTCAGAAGAACGGCAGAAACTGGATCTATATATGAAAACTCTTTCAGGGCAAAATTTAAAGTAAAACTAAAGATATTTGTAGTTGTATAAAAGTTGCATTTTTCATCGGTCGTAGAGCCGAAAATCCGCAATATTCATCTCAGAACAATGCTTATTTCACGCAGAATCGTTAATAAACGTAAGATTTTTATACGTCTCAAGAAAGATAGAAACATAATCTTCATTTTAAATGCCTTACCATGGGCATATTTGTATTTAAAGCGAAGATACGTGTATTTTTCTAATCGGCGAGCTCCGATCCCGCACAGATCGAGCAACGGAGTAACTCTCAGAACAATGCTTATTTCACATAAATTCGTTAATAAACGCAAATGTTTTTATATGTGTTGAGAAAGATAGAAATATAAGCTTCATTTTAAATACTTTACCATAGATATATATAAAGTTCTAATGAAGATACATGTGTTTTAATAATCACCGAGCTCCAACCCCGCACAGACTGATCGACAGAGCAACTCTCAGAACAATGCTTATTTCACGTAAATTCATTAATAAACACATATGTTTTATATGTCTCAAGAAAGATAGAAATATAAGCTTCATTTTAAATACTTTAACATAGACATATATAAAGCTCAAGTGAAGATACATACGTTTTTATAGTGGCATTCAGTAGCTTGTCGGTCATGGAATGCAGAAGCCTACGCACTTGCCAATATAGTGTGTAATTAACAAAGATACGCTTATAAAGCCTAAAATATTATATGCCTTCAGAAAGACAGAGATATGCTCGTTATTGTGAGTGCACCAAAGGAAATATATCTTGTTGGAGGACAAAGATATATCAATTCTAAAATAAGTTTCGACTCTCGCTCGGGCGAGAGATAGCGCGACTCTCGCCCCATCTATTGGAGATTCTGTTCACCTAATGACCCAAAGCTACTCAAAGCCTCCTAGCATTACTTAAATAATGAAGAAATATGGTATATTTATTCACTATAATGTTGGTGCTTAATGCAGAACACGAGAAAACATATATTTACTATAAAATAATATACTTCCATTATGAAATAAGTAAATATGTGGCCTCATAGGAAGTCAACGGTCCAGGTGTCAATGTTGTGGAGCGACTTATCCAAGATATATTGTTGTCTGGAAAGTGTTTGTTGGCATATCAACCTTCTGTACACAGTGATCCAGTCGTCGCACTTCTCTCCTTAAATGATCGCAAATTTAGTTTATTATATTAACAAGTAGAATACGTATTTCTAATAATATCTAACATAACTAGCCAGAAAATATTTAAGACTTATTGAAAAATACATGTCTGGAAGTTAAATCGACTTCATAGAACAATAGTGTTGGTCTATACTAATCGTTATTCGTTAGTATGCGTTCGCTACTTAAAACATTTACTGTACTGATGTAAAATCTCCCATGTCTCTTCGCACATGAAACACCGAACCTTACACACTCTCTGATATATTGTTTAATTAATAGAGATTTACTAATAAAGCTTATAATTGTATATGTTATCAAAAAGGCATAGATAAAGTCGTTCTTACGTTTTAGTCACAGAGATTAGATATTAGTAAAGTAAAGTTCATTTTATTCAGGAAAGTACATAAATAGTCGATTTACAAACATAATATTGGATTTATAGATAGAGCTAGTACATACAATACCTAAAGCCACTAGTACGCATAGCGTTTCGGGCATATTATTGAGAGAGGAAAGATATTTTATATTTTACAAGAATGTAAATACTGTACTATCCAATGTATTCTCACAAAACCCAATGTACCTTCTTGTATATATATAAATAAATAAATAAATAAATTTATATTTAAACTATTTTTTTTTTACCGATGCTCTCCCTATTGATGAGAACTACAACGTATTGAAGATAAATGTTAATTTTATGTAGATACTGTAATAAACGAAAGTTTTTAATGTCATCAGAGAAGCAGAAATATAGGCAAATTTTAAATCCCTTGTCATAAATATAATTGAAGTGAAAGCAAAGATATATGCATTTTGATAGTTACAAAGACAGCTCTTTAACACGGGTGGACCACGAACAAGGGGAACTTAGTACCCAAATGAGCCACAGAGATATTAGA